GCAATAACATCGCATTCATGGCAGTTGACATTGAAGTACTTTTGAAACCTACTTCATGGTCGAGAATGCTTGCATTTATTTTGTTAGACATTGCACACCATGACAAAGTGTCGAAGTCTTGTGTTCTAATGACTCAAAAATGCCAACTATCATTCTTTTTTCTTTATGGTTCGGAGAGCCTGAATGTTCAATTATTGTGGGCGCATTTCACTTTGATGATCATGAATTGATGCACGCCAAGTCGGTGCAATGCATGCATTCCTGGCGTTACAACCTGACTGTTCAGTCCCAAATTGTTTTGTAAAACAAATGAAGTAATGTTCAAAGGGGGTATTTTAAGCGTTTGGACGTTTGCAAACGAGAACAAGAGAGGTGATCCGCTTAGGGAATGTATGTTTGAAGCAAAATATGTCGGTAGTTCTGCATTCTAGAAGTGAGACACTTAATTGGGAAAATGCAGTAACTGTTTGCAGTCGTCAGTGTGAAAGTCCCTCAACCAGGATCAGGAGATACGAAGTATGCCAGAGTTACCAGTTGTGTTTACCTCACATGGTAAAAGGTAAATTAAATGCTTTACCTTCCAGTAATAGAAGACTCCTTTCATGCGACTTTCGGTGAGTTTCTTGAGCCACCCTAATTCTGCCCCATGACCCTTTAAGCAGGTATCAGTCAGATAGCGTAAAGCTTAGCCAACTTGTAGTCCGAGACGGCAGTTGCATGAAGTACCGAATAGGGTCAGGTTTTAAACGGAAAGAAGAAAAACAAAGTTCCAAACATTAGCGTGAGTTAACTAGCCGAGTGGTTGTCTCTTCATCGCAGTCGAAAATCAGCAAAGATTTTCTGTTCTGTCGAAAATCTCCTCGCCGTGATCTTGCAGTACTGCCTCTACAAACCCTTCTTCTTTAGCCACAGTGTCAGATTGACTTGCGCCAGAGTGTTAATTTGTGACGCTCAAAAAAACTTTTTAACGAATGAAATAAGATGGGAAGCGGAAAGGGAGGAGGAAAAGGATTATCTCCAGTTCATGAAAAAGATCCCGGTCAAACCATAACTGCGTGAAATAGTCCAGTTCAGAGGTTACAAAGGCTTAAGAGATTGCCTGACCCACTGTTGGGAGCATTGAGATAAGCATTTTCCAAAAAAAGATGATGAAAATGCTGCAAGCTTTCATATAAGATCTTCTTATTAGACATCGATGCATTTGCAAGGAGAGCAACAATTGGATTATTTCATTGCAAAGTATTTTGACACCTTTTCAGACTGAAAAGGTTACTTTGCACTGACGCTTGAAACATCCACCGGGTCATTTCAGCGGAAAACACGAGGTGTAGAACCATAGTCGAAACCGAAGCCCTTATGCCTTAGTTAAATTGTGCCACTTTGTTGTTGATGCTCAAAATTTAACATACGGATGTCTTTTGCTAAAGAAAGCATGCAAGTAGTGGTCTCGTTTCTGACAACAGCCAAAAAGTGGCAATTCCTAACTGTCCTAGGACGCGTTCGTTCATCTTCCTTGAGGACATTTTGTGCGGTAACTTCACTGGTGCAGCTTCCACAAATGACTTGACTTAGATGGAAATTTCGCTTTTAATTTCTGCTGAAAATTGCATTCTGATGTTCACTTTACTGTTGGTTGCTGAACAAACACAAGTTATGATATATTGGCCAGGCGCAGTTGCTAATTGCATCGTTCACACCATTAATGGGGCCTGCTAAACAGACCTTATGTCCTGGGAGAAACTGCTTCAGCCTGGGGCGGAACTTTCATACAGAGCTCTATCAATGCATAAAACCATTTATCAAGGTGTTTACCCCAGATGATAATATGGGAGCGGAGGAAAATGAGGAAGAAATCCTCAATGTAAAATGCTTTGCAGTCGAGGCACGATAAACAGTTCTGCACAGTAATAGAAGCTTTTGTCTTAATAAGCAAGGAACCCTACTAGAAAGCCGATACGGGAAAGTGAAAAATGTTTCCTCTCTTACTATTGACTGCCATTAGAATTTGCGGTTACAGATGCTCGGTGCATTAAAAACGAGGGAATGGAACATTTACAGTTTCGAAAGTACTGAAGCTTCAACTGCACCACCAAAACCATCCTGTGGCTGACCTCCCATTACTGGACCATCTCGTGGCTAAATTTGCCAGTAAAATGATAAACTTAAAGAAACTCAATGCAGGCTGGCTCCATTAAAATGTGTAAATTCGTCAAGCCACTTGAGGGCGTGTGATTGTGGGTATGGTAACAGCGCTGTTATGCCAATCGCATCGGCGAGAACAAAATTATGACCGCGTGCCTTATTCCAAAACATCGCCTTCTCAATTTTCACTTTGTACAACTTGTAAAGCCACTTTGACACCGTCTTGTGACTGGGTTTTCTTTGCTTCAAGAACTGCTTTTATTTCCCATGATTAGTGGGGTTGCGCTGTGCAGAGCCATTTGTGCTAAGTCGTCAATGTTGTACCCTGGAAGTTTATTAAAACATAATCATTGGATTATTTTCGGTAGTAGGATAATTTATTCACGCTACATTTAGTTTGAAGCCATCACGATCAGCGGGACAGCACTGGAGTCTGAAGGCATTGAAATGCAAATTAATAACTTGCAGACGTGGTGATTAGTCGGCAAACGCCATTGAAAATGCCAACATTCCAGTTGCCATGTCTCAAACATTTCATCATCATTCACACACTTCCAAGTACCTTTATCACCTTAAGGAAAAACAAGAAACTGTTCTCTAACATTGCTCCGCGCATAAACTTTGGTGATTTGCCTCAAGTAATAAAAGGAGCATTCAAATTCTGTAAATTTTACTTTGCAACCTTTGGAAGAAAGTCAATAATTCATAAATGATTCCACGCATCGAGATCACTTAAGCAGCATTTTACGACCGCAAAATTGTGAGCAGTCAGCCTTATGGACTGCATTTAAGCGAAACTTAAGTGGTTTTATATGCAGCACAGTAATACGGCCGACGCCATGAGCAAAGTAAATCGACTACGATACTTGAGAATGTTGTTTGCATAGGGTTGGGTGAAGCCGCTTGACCAACTCGGAGTAGCAACAAATTTTTCCTCAACTCCAATAGCCATCTAGCACTCATTCGTTGTGCACCGCAATGGGGTCAGAGTTCCTTTTTAAAGTCCTATTGAACCACAACTGATCTATTCTTTGAGGTTCAACGGGAGTTGGGCAGAGGCGCTTAAGGACAGAAAACTTCTAATCCTTTTAAGTGAGTCCATTTTTAGATAGTGGTTGGTCCGCATTTACTGTTCACGAATGACATGCTCACACAAAAGTTAAAATGTGTTCATGCATAGGTCAAATGAACGGCATTAACGTGTGAAGATTTGCAGCAGAGCGGCCACCGCTCCAAATAAGGTAAGCAGCCATTGCGGCTTCCAAGCTGTACAGTAGACAAACGATTAATAAGCATTTGCACTGAGATTCGTGTTTAGACATCATGTTGTCTGTGATTTAAACAGTCCGACTTCATTTTTAGATAATGTTTATTTTCCGCAAATAGAGATTCGACTTGTACAAAATGGAGTCGTTTATGACATGGAAAGTAATATTCACAAATGAAAAGATGTTGACGTTGGGTTGTGTTGTGGTTACCTTTAACAAAAATGAGCGTTTAAAGTTTACAATGGGTGCGATTAAGAATGAGATTTCATCACGCACGCATTACCAATCATCCGTCCTCAATCTCTAAAGCATCGAAAGGACCATTATGGAGGCTGAGACCGTTCTTTGTGTGCAGTAGAACTGGCTCGACTGCCTATAAAGCAAGGAGGTGGAGTGAGAAACGGTAGTACAGACGTAAAAATGTTTGTTGATTTAAAACGACCACAGAGGCACCTCATTATGGCAAATATCAACAAGTTGGTTCTGTGAAATCAACTTTTTTCCCAAGATTTCCATCGTATTTCACGCAATGCATATCCTCAGTCCAGTCACTTGTTGAACCAAGCGGTCTTCACCCATTCGCCGACTTAGCCTAGGCCTGCGGAAATAAACTGACAATGACAATGAGGCGGTGGTGGCCATTATGGCACCGACTGCGTTTCACTAGTGTAAGCATAATTTGAAACGAAAGTTTAATACACAACTTTGTTTCTGTTATTTTATGCATTTTGTGAATTCAGAGACGCGACTTTCCATTTACTGCTCACGGGCTTAAAAGAAAAGCAAAGTTGGCCTTACATCGAATGGCAGTACGCAGCCATTAAAACACAAAGCCATCAAGCTCATTAATAATTAGGATGTGGTTCAGTTTTAAAACACTGAGGAAACACTGGCACTTTGATCCATGAAAGTAAAATGCCGAAACTTAATTGGAGAAACAGGTTGTGAAGGAGATGAATAATTCAAAGCCTCAGCATCCAAGGCCCGTTAGTGCTTAGTTACGCCGTTGTGTTTGCCGTATTGGGAACCACAAATTGACACAACTCCTCACGTGCACATAGCAAAACAAACAGTTGTTCATCAATTCCCTGACATACACCACAGAGTGGCACCGAAATTGGATTAGATTTCATGACATTTCACAATTACTGGACTAATTGTCCATGCATTTCAGATTGCATTGCATTTATATGTGCATTTTTTTATAAAGCTGAAGCTAGTCACACAATTCCAGTAATCGTCTTTCAGATTGGGAGAGATTGCATTTATTAGCTACCTGGACAGATGCATATCGCATTTAAATGAGACGCAGTCGAATCGTCTAATCGCAAGTCGGAGTTCGTTTAAACCGTTTTGGGGCCAATGCTAGCATACGGCTTAGGGAAAGAGCAAATAAATTAATAGATTCACCAAGATAACTCTTCTTCCACTTAACAGGGTTCAATTAAAGCATGCCTATGTAAAAAAAATATTTTTCGACTACGGTAGAAGCTTTGAGCATTGAGATGCGGCTTCATGGAACAAGCGCCCCAGATGGCCTACTAAAGCAGGAACTTAGGGGATAGAATATACAAAATATGTGTTTCTTCCCTAATCGCTATCTGATTTTGCCAAAATTAAAGCGAACCCACTTGAGCTCAGTCGCGGCTGCTCTCCTGTTTGCTCGCAGTGGTCAAATGAGGCGGAATACTTTGTTGAGAGGTGTCGTTGAGTTGCGGCAGACTTCAGAAGTTGGTAGACTGGATCAATCTCACCTAATGAACCAAAAGCACAGCAAAAACTTTTATGTCGTCGTCTTTTTGACAAGGATCATTATTGGATTTAAAATTTTCTTCTTTCTTTGGATTAGCTTGTGTGTACTCTGAATATGTGAGATGATGGAGGGTGAATGGAGTTAGACCAGCCTCACTTGTCTGGGCTTAAGAGAGCAGGTACCACAAGTAGCGAGTGAAATGCATTCCATTGAAGTGGGCTGCCCAAAGCTGCCGCCCCGTAGAAGTGCGGCTTAAGTGGGCTGCATTCCTCATGTCCCGTAGATAAATAAGCTGGTCCGTATCTTCGCTTACCGCCAGCACTTTAGGCCGATCTCTCACCACGTGCTTCACTCAAAGCACATCAAACAAATAATAACCACTTTTGGTTGAGGAAATGGTTTAAGTGCACCGTAAAATTATAACTCTTCTGAGCAAGTACTTGCCTTATACTGATATAAAAGCAATGATCACCAATAAGATGCATTTTCTTACCTTCCGGTTCTTCGCTCCCACTTTTCTTCTTTCCTAGTCCATATTTAGAATTTCCCTTCGTTTGAAAAAAACAGAACATGATTAAATATAGCTTTTTGTGGAAACGCAGCATAAGGAATGAATAAATCAGACTGCAAATTTCTCTTTGGTAGGTTCTTTGTCGGAGTTGCGAAGTAAAATTGGCCTTCATGGTCCATATTTTTATTATTCCTGTGCAGTTGTGTTATCTATCTCCAAAAAGGAAGAATAAATTTCCTTTGGAGTTCATCTTCCATCTGCTTTTTATTTTTAACTCATTTCACTTCTTCGGATAGGGAATTGATAAGACAAGATACTATAAGTATTATTTGAGCCACTCCTAAACAAATCGGTCGTTTTAGCAAGCGAATGGTTTTGAAGCGTGAACTTGGAAGTGTAAACGCTGAACATCAAATTGGACATCGCATAATTTATGCCTGACCACAGTTTTCAGAAACTAATGAAATCATTCTGCATTGCGAAACTCATCGCCACAAATACGACAATCCCTTAAAGACTGCAATACACGAGAGCAGTCACTGAAACGTGGAATGCACAACGTACATCTTTGTTTTTCGCCTCGTTCCTGATGGCTTTGTAGGCTAGTTTCCAAAACCGCTTGAACGACTTCTTCTTTGCACTGCCCCGCGGTGCTATGGATGATTCACCTCCATCGTCGGGCTGTATGGTCATTAATAAATGCGGACATTAATATTCTTCGGAAGAAGAAGAAGAAGGAGAATAACGAATGTGCTTGCTAAGATCCCGAGTAAGCGTAGTGGTGAACGAAAGAGGCAAGAAATGAGGTAAAATGGACGCTACCAGACATGGCACGACTTGACGCCATTGGAGTGTGGGGATTGGCACCGATTATAGGGAACTACCATTACTATATGATCAAGGGTCTACATCCACTGTCAGATCATTTTCTACACATATCTGTCACGCAGGGACAAATCGCATACATCTTATAACTTTTAGGAGTGAGACAAAGTGTTTCTTTGTTCGGGTAAGAAAAGGTGTTTGACGCTTGTTCCCATGAATTGCATTTTTCTTGCCCAGGTAGAACGCTCTGCATAAAACTTGTTTGGACGCAGGTTAGATGGCTGACATTCGATTCCTTTAACAGGAAATCCAGTGTTGAATTTCCGAGGAATGATTAAAGGCTCCGAAGAGGTAAGCCAATGGACCCGATGTCAAGCTGCTTGTGAGGTAAATCGGTGCATTTCCGGATTGAACTGGGAAGATGTGGGAGCGCAAGAAAATCCTTTCTAAAAATGTTAGCCAGCCTCTGATTGGCGGCATTAGCGACTTTCAAGCATCCAAATTTTATGAAGATGTGCACATTTTTTAAATGCTAGCAATCTTAACTTTTGCAGTATTTTTGGAGTCAAGGGACCATCCTTTACAGAAAGGAAAGTGGCAGTGGTCACTATGGGATAAACGTTGAACGCATGGGTGAGACATGCATTGCGACGATAATAATGGTTAGGCAAGAAAGATGCTTCTGCCAAGAAAAGAAAATGATAAAGTTTATGTAGGTTCGTTCCTGTGAAAACCAATTTTAGTACATATTTGCACTTAGGTTGAAATCACTTTATCAAAGACTAGACTAGGCTAGAGAGGATGCAGCCATCAATGTTCCACAGTCTCCTGAAGTCCCCTCTGCACAATGCGATACGTTTCTTTTCCCTTGCTTGAACCAACGTTTGTGCATTTAAGAAGCTCACAGGGAATGCCCAAACTGATCAGCTTTATCCCTGAGGACAATCAGGGCGTGACTCCAAATAAACATTGGTTGGAGTGGAAGGGATTTCACGCAGTGCTGTTTCGCGGGCCCCCACGTAAGCAGCTACAGGAGAAGTCGGTAAAAACTGCTGGATTTTAAAAACCAGTATGTATGTTGAAAGTGTGAGGAAAGAGGGATGTCAGTTTTGGCATGCATTTTCACCAAATTAGCTACAAATTGTGGACGCATTCCCTTAACATATTAATCGCAAAAATTAATACACATTTTGCTTTTTTTTAACCATACTTATCATATGGAATGCAGAGTGTTGACGGTCATGATAAAAAAAATGCGTCTTCGATGGTAAATGAATTTAGATTTGACGTGAGGCAAGAGGAATTGCAAATTAACAGAAATCCCTTTAATGGTTGGGGAGTAAGGGTTCAGTGGTAAGGTAGACGCTTTTGTTAAGGGAAACTGTGCGTTTACACGAGCGTGGTTATGAGAAGGAGATAGAGACATGCAAATAGAATCTCACAACGGACTGTGGCACAGATCAGAGCCAAATGAGGAGGTCAGCTAAAAGTAATCGTGTGCCCTCCCTTCGTCGCGCCTGTGCAAAGCACCTGTGCAATGCGGGGAGGAATGAGGGGCATTCCTCAGGCAGGGGAGCAACACCTGCTCCAAGGTTGATAGCCAAATCGAAATACCTAAAAAAACTGTTTAGCTCTACTTAAAAACAATTTCCCATCTTAAAACACTAAAAGTGAATCTAATGCACTTTCGATTAGGATTACAGCGCAGAAGAACAAATTTCTTGTCAAACTTGCATTTACAACAATGCGCCTTGAAGTAGATGCGGCGTTTTTTACTTTATTGTTGTTGTATTTCGATTTTTGGTCACAAAAATTCAGGTTGGTTAATGAATATTGCACACTGCAAACTGCTCCCGATTTCATGCAATCCTTCCCAACATCCGCTCCGGCCTTGCTTGTGTTCGCTGTTCTCGAATTGATCATTTGCAAGAGTTGGTACATTTAAACTTCTCACAATTCCTAATCAACATTCAACTGTTTTAAAGTTTATTTGCTGAAATTTAAAGTAAGCTTCACCCTGTTACTTGATACATTTCTAGGCTTTAAGAACATTTTATGGTTCGCCTTCCGCCAGTGCTAACTTCGTTTGTTGTATCACGTCTACTGTTGTACATTTCCGTGCAGATAAGCCAGTCCCGACGTTATTCTGTAAACAAGGTAGAATAAAAGGTAAAGTGGATTTTTTTGCAAACAAATGCCTGCGTTTGGCTTCACCAAGGCACTCTGCGCAGCAGATTTTGGATGTTTGCAACCTTTATACCCTATGCTATTTGCTATTGAAAAGAAAGGAGGTGCATCTTTTTAATTTCTTATCTTTTTTGCTGATGGATTAGCCGTGATGTAATGGCCTGGAAATTTGGCGTTGAAATTTTCATTTATTTATACCCTTCGATTTGGGCTTTTTATTTATTTTCCTAGGCATGACACTTGTAGCCGAGTGCAGTCTGGTAAATTATTAACCACTTGACACCACAATCACACCCTGGATTTAACCAAAGGTACACTTGAAATTTATGGGCTTGTGTTTAGTTTACAAAAGTGCATATATTTCTGCCAACTATCGTACCACCATCTTCAACTGCCTTGGACCTTTCGTCAAGATTTTTTGCAGATTTGATGGGTCAGTAACCCATGACGTGTTTATGCCTGCTTTAGGAAATTGCAGTTTCATGTAACACCTTCACATAAAAGATAGAAATGATTGCGCTAACAGGCAGCGACTGAAACGTAGCAACTGTCTTGAGCATAACCACTGTAATGCAAATGGTGAGAGATGTGGGATCAAGACAAAGCCCTTAACCTTGGTAAGGTGGCATGGAGTGAGCCAAGGCAAGTCCTCCGAAAGCCTTGATGGATTTAATACGGTAGCGCGGAGACATCGGAAACTGCATCCATTGGTTTATTTATTTATTTATTAGGACTTTTTTGCTTAGCAAAAGCAAGTCGACCGATTACTCCTACACAAGTGGCGTCGAGTGTCCAGGCATGCGTAAATGTTACCCTTAGAGAAGAAGGTCCACAGGACTTGCAATAGTAAATAGAAAATGCAAGTCGAAAGGGAATGTGCCATTTACTTGGATAATTATGCTGAATAAATTGAGAGGTACTTCATCAAATTCTGGGCAGTTTCTTTAAAACAAGGATCCAAATTAATCGTATGTGTTCAAACGAGGGATATAAGTAAAAGCTTGGATGGACGAAACTTTTCGGGGAAAACGAAAATGCTTCCTTTTTGTTTAACTGCAAATTGCAACTCATAGTTCTGCGTATTTCAAAGAATCCTTAAGGCAACCATTACAGTAGAGAGAAAACTAGTAGCATAGGTTAAGTCAATCCTTTTTTGCTGTGGCACTTCTACTAAGTACGATTGAAGCAAATGTGAAAATTTAACAAAAGATAGGGTGCTATAGTAATCAGCCCAGATTAATTAGAGTTGTTCTCACCTCTTTTTCTTGTTCATCAAACACAGAGTCAAAGTAATCATCTGCTTTTCCGCTAGGAGATTCTATGGTCTCGTTCCTTTCCTCAGAAGCTCTGTTTTCTCTGGTCTCTTCATGTGCCTTCTCAGAAGTAGTACGTGCTTCTTCGAAGCTATAATCCTTTTTAAAGTGTTGCCCCAATCCGTGTTGCGTGCTGTCGTATCGCGGAGAGTACTGTGCCCTATGCAGTGCACCAGGCGTGGAAGGGATTCGAACCATTGGATGATGCGGGTGACTTTGCAAAGGCTCATCGTCTTCCTCGTAGCTGGCGAAGGAAGGATTGCCGGAAACTGATGTTGAATTGCAACACCCTACTCCAACTGCGACTGTGCTCTGAGAACTGCTCCAACTCATCCCACTTGCTGCTGAATCGTATGACTCGCAAGACTTTTGCGGTTTCACTTGTGCTACCTGCACTTTGCTTCCACCCCCGCTAGACCCATCATCAAGGCGAATTTCTGGCAACCGCGACATAGGTTTGGGCAACTCAGCACGCAATAAGAGAGTGCTGCGCGGATTCAATGAATGAAGGAATGAATCTGACGTTGATGGGGTATCATGCGAGTGTGATCCTCCACTGATAACATTGGCCTGGCGCGTGAGTCGACCAGATTTGCTAGTTGAAGGTTTAAAGGGAAAGGACATGTTCCGATTGGTTCAGCACAACCAAGGGGTTGGAGGTTGGCGTACAGTAGTGGGATAGTGGGATATAAGAGTGTCGCCTACGTATGCAACACAGCCCAGTGAATTGTCTCTTCCAAAAATGGCCTAGGTCGAAACGCAGCGAATGAACAGTAGGCCAGTGCAGTCTTTCAAAGAGATACCAAGGCGAACGCATACACAACCGCGCTCACCCTAGTGTGCAACGTTAAGCATGCGTGCAGAAACAAGCTTTCCATTGGCCAGAAGGGAGGGGACCAATCAGTTCTTCCGTTTTGGCATTGCGGGATGCCTTCCTATATGCTAGACACTTTCTCTACCGATTCACTATTCTTTAAACTAGCATATTGTGATGAAAATGTCTGATTTCTGGACTATTGCTTCATTGTTCTAGACCTTACTAGGGTATTAACAAGCAAGTAGTTCATTCGTTGTCCATTATTTTTTAAACACCTACTGGCGCTTTTAATGATGGAAGAAAATTCTGATTGGTGTTAAGCAAAATACATAGCAATTTCCACATCCACGTTTTAGTCAAACTTAATTTCTACACTTCTTCCTAAACAAAGCATAGGCTGGTTCGCTTTATTATGGGCCTCCTATTCGGGGCGTCATCACATGCAGGCGGATTGGTTGAGTGAAGAGGCAAGTGCGTTGAAAATAGGGCGTCATTACTAAACCGTAGTCGACTCGAACAATATTTCACTACTCAAGTAGTGTTAAAAACAGTAATGCTAGGTATGACTGTGCCAGCCCTCCATTATAAAGCATTTTAGGATTTGGGAGATGCATAATGAAAGACTTAATAAGTTCATTTATCTTCACGAAGTTGGGACACTGCCCGTTCTAATTAGCTGGTGTTTTGTGTCTGTTCATGTTCTAAAAACAATGCGCATTAGGCCAAGTCCATTACTTGACTAATAATACCATTTAACGTTGGAGGATTGTTCCACCAGCTAATCAGTTATTTTGTTCCCAATTCGCAAACAGTGTGTAGAAGTATCTTTTACCAAGGCTAAACCAAGTGCACAACGGAGTACCTTGTTTTGCTTACAAAGACCCACTAGCTTGCCTTCCGTGTTTATGTGACGAGGTGTCTGGTCCTTGGCAAAACCAAAGGCCCACAGCACTAATGCTTGGAAGCAAATGAAATACTGCATTTTTACTATAACATTATTGTCACTATCGTTAACGAGAGCTGTAAAAAGGGCGCGGACAATAAGTGTCTACTTCAGGTTCTACAAAGTATCAACACCAGACACTTTCGTATTGCCTCTCATAAAATATTCCATTTGAAATGAGCGAATACTACATCAAAAATGGTGTTTGGTGTTTCGAAGGACCTACCTTTTATGGAAGATAGCGTTGTTGAAGTGACCAACTTCAAAGACAACCTTAATGTAAAAATCTTCAATTTGACTAAGTATAAAAGTGCCGAAACCTTGTGGATTTTATATTTAAGCACAGTGGTTTTTTATTCAACTTTTATGGAGATGCCAGTTTGAGAGTGGAGCAGCAGCCTTTATGGGAAAGCCATTTACGGATCCGTTGTCTTTAATTACACTTTCCCAAAGCAGAATACTTCCAACACACATCGTATTTCCATCAAGATACCAGTATTAAAGTCTAGCTGAATTTCTTGGACAAAAGATGAATGAATACGGTTCTACAAAAACTAGTGTAAGATTTGTGATACCTTTACAAAGTGACTTCTCCCATACTTTATATGTACGGCTCTTCTACAATAACTGAGTGACAAATTTTACTTTGCAAGGAGTTCTTTTGAAAACAGTGCACTTAAATTTAATCATTAAATTTCAAGATCTTTTATTTATTGAGCCTAGTAGTTCATACTTTTGCTATTTTTTTGGTTTTTTAAATCACAGAACTTTGTGACAGTTGCCGGAGTTAAAATGTCTGCACATTAACGATGGAGTCATTCCGGTAGTGATTATCAACTGCCTCAGGTTATTCTCTTTGCAATATCGCCAAATTCGACGGCAGGAGCGAGACTCCATCCATTCGGCAGAACAGATGTGAAGACCTGCTGGCTTGCATACAGTTTAGCATGACCATTGTAATGAGTGAGGTCATGGCGTACTGGGGTGGTGGCGTTGACAGCTCAAATGTGGCCAGACGTCTCGCTTCTCCTCTCCAACCATAACCAAGACCAGGATCACAAGTTCTCTTCCTCTGCTGCATGCAATGCCCCGATTACATCTTCTTTAGCAACAGGAAATCAGGATCGAAGGGACATGGCAGAGTTTGAAGATTTCGAGCACCTCCATTTAGCACGATTGCAAATCTCCGTAACGTTCAACTTTTAGCTAGCAGCATTGCTTTTTTAACGCATTGCTTATCTTTCTCCTATTCGCAACAAAATGTAGACTTCATCTTGTAATAAAAACATTACGAAAAGAATTATGCGAACAAAATTGTTTCTTAAAGGCAGATCATGACACTTTTAGCATTAAAAACTTGTAACATTACCGTTATCAAATAACATGATATAGTAATGTTAAGAAAGAATTTTTTCCACCTACTTCTCATGTGTGTGCCATCATTTAATGTCATAGACCTTACTTCAGACGAAAAGTGAAAATTACAGTGTACTGACATACCTTATTGGGTAGACGGCCAACTCCTTCCTTCTGTCCTTAGTCTACACAGTCACAGTCACTCGAAGCATTCACTTGAACGGTGTGAAGCACTCGCGATGCAGACCATCTGCACTGGTCGCCGAACTTGAGTTCGTGCTAGCTTTCATAAACACACCCGCAGTCATCACCTATGTGAGCACCCCTATCAGGAATACCTTATTAATTATCTACGTATGCACGCGCGTGTGACAATAGAAGCCTGCATTTTATTACTTTCTTACCTCATGATGCAAAGCGAGTGCGTTGGACTGGATTTCAATGTTCTGGAGTGGTTGTGATTGGTAGGTAAAAAATTAAGTGGAAGTACGGAGAAGGTGGTAGGTGCTAGTGCAGAGTTAAACTATTTAAATTTATAGGAGGAGCCTTAAAGGCGGCGTTCTTCGAAGTCATTTCGCAGGGCAATAAAAATTAGAGGACATTTATAAAGCAAAAGCACTTATTTTAATACAACGCTGCAATGAATGGAATTCTCTACTCAAGTGTGCACCGCCGCGAAGTGACTCCATGCAAGGCGGTGTTATTGTGTGACGGAGATGTTTTATTTACAAAAAAATTTTATTGCAGAATGAGGAATGCATTTTTCAGAGCAGGCGAGAACGGTGAAATAAAAGTGCCACCGGTGCAATAAAGTGCTAGGCAGAATGGGACCCTAACTGCGGTGTGCACGTTGTGGGAGTTAATACAAGTTTATTCTACTGCATATCGGTTACGATTTTAGCTGAAAGATTTTTTGGATAAAGGCGGATTGAAGGACAAAGCTCCCATCCCATGCAATGCAGCATGATTCCTTGTGGGGTCAAACAGCACACGCTTTCGTTTGCACAGTGTTGAGGCGAACTTCTAGGCAGAATATGCTTGTGTGGGGGCAAAACGGGCAACCCTGCTCACAGACTCTTAAATAGTAAAACCTTTTCCACTTGTTCAGTTTTACACATTTTATTAGTGCCAAAAGGGATGGCAATTAGCAAAAACACTTTCGCATCCAAATTACAATTGCCTTACAAGGTGTTTTCAACGGTGGGATGGCAACATGCGTTAAATGGGCGTCCCATTCTGCAGTGAACTCGGCCCAAACCCGATTCAACATCAGGTCATAAATGTCTGCCAGTGAAAGGTCACTGCTGAAAGAACTCGCTGTCGTCCGATTTTAAAGACGTAATTAGTGGTTAAGTGGTTGTCACTTGATCTTATCCTACAACATAATGCCACATACGTTCAGCTTCGTTCACTTCCATTTTCAATTGGACAATGGGATTACCAGATGGTAAGGCAGACATGCAATTTGAAAAAAATCACAAAGTGTTCCCTGTCGTACCTCAACAATTAGTTCAACATGGGTCGTTCGTACCAGTTTCATAATTGAGCCCACTTACTAGTTCTGGATGATTTGAAGAGCGTAGCCCTTTGTCTTCTTAGCACTTCGACTGGATTTGTAGCACTACTAAGGGAAGTTTATTGAAGCTAAAGGCATGCGAGTCGTGTTAGTTCTCATTTAACCTAACCGTAATTCTACCTTACCTCTCTGGTGGAGAAATGCAAACGCATGCAACTTTGCTCTTGCCTCAATTCCATCATTAATATTAGCACTTTAGGCTTGAACCTGTCTAACTTGAGGGAACCACTTGTATGCCTACTTTCGTCTGTACCTTACAGTCACGCTGCTGATTCGCAGAAACTTACAATTCTTATACTGACATAATTCACTTCAGCTGTCTAGTGAGTACTTAAGGATGGATTTGAATTTATTAGTTCAAGCAAAAGAGGAATTATTGCATCGCAGCTCTGACATACTTGTACTTTTGCTCACCGAAATGGGCTCAAAGTACCATTACTGTGTTCATTCAATGTTATGAGTTGAGGTTGAAAGACACCCTCCACAGCCTACAGAGAACCCATTTTCAACTGACTTTTGTCTATCAGAATCCAAAATAGTAAAATTTATCCATCTTTAATGAAGACGAACAAATATATTTCGACACGCTCTCCTTTTACCACCTTGTTCGACTAGTCAGTCGAAGAATCTATTTTTGCGTCACTAGAAATTCAAGCGAACCTGTAATCGAGGACTGAGAATCTTAGCAGAGAGCACTTCTAAGTGTAGCAAAAAAACTCAGAAAGTGATAACTTGACTTGGTCCCCACCTATTTTTACAGGGCCTTCGAATGTGTGACATGTGCCATCAACGGTTTAAGATATCGCATGTGCGTGTCTGCATGACCGCCATGTTTGTGTCGCTAAATTATCTTTCCTTGAGGAGAAAGCAGCAATTGTGTTTGAAAGCATAATACTAGAGTTGAATGCATGCATTAGAAGAAGGAAAAGCAAAAGGGTTGTCAAAGTTACCGCCACTCATACAAGCGGCCAAACAAATTATTATAAACATTTGCGTCGAACAACCACTTTCCCCCAGTGGAGCTTTGCAGCAGCCACACATTGAATCCCAGCTAAGAGACTTGGATCCCACATAAATGCAATTAACCCTTTCTCTTAGCGATTAAAACTTAGGATTATATTTTGTACAGTCTAAGTGTTAGCATGTGCTGGTTAAGTGACTGTAGCCCAAAATGCCTAAGGCTTGCCACAATTTCACATCGCTAAAAATGGGATTTGAGCATTATTTTCCCGTGATGTGTCCACAATACATTGAGAAAATGAGAACTGCAAGTGCGAGACGTAACCCATTCAGCCGCGTATAAGTTTAACATTACTGAGTCTAGCCTTTTGAGGGTCATCGTTTGCAATTGGGTGCGGTCCACACGCATGTCTTTCGCTGTGCCTCTGTTCAAAGCGTGCACCCCAGATGCATTGCGAGATGCGAGACTTGTTGCCTGATTTTCGCCCGAGGCACCGATTCGACAATAAATCTAAAGGAGCTGTTATAAAAAATTCCTTTCAGATTTAAATGAAGCGAGTCCTTTTAACACTGAGTCAAAGTTATTAGAACGCATAATTATTTTTTACAAATGAAGTTATTTTTATTATGGAAGACATAAATTGCATGTAATCGACGGCACAATATTAATAAGTCCGTAAATTACCTGCCAGTCTACCACCTGACTCACTCTAAACTCGAATTAGGTAATAGAACTGTGACTTAATAAGCCCTGAAATAAGACTAATTTTGCTGATTTTTAATTGAGACTTAACCTATGGAAAAGGACTAGCCAAAAGCCTTGTAGCCTGTTCTTACTATAGGCACGATGTTACTCCGCTGTCTAATCTCCCTCATACATTAGCGTGTTGCTTGCGCATGTCATGTTTTTTGATGCTATCAGCGGTCACATGCGTGCACACATGCACACACGTACACCACTTGGGACATGTTTCCTAATGGCCTCCGATGACCCTCGCTCTAGCATCACAATTAACAGATTGTTAGTGTACTGTTGCCCTCCTCATTTGACTCAGGCACAGTTATGCTCGTACACCGGGTTAAGCAATGTGATAGAGGGTAGAGTGAAAGCTTCCACCTCATCTCACCTAGCCAAACTACACAACCTGTTTAAGCGAGACCCACCGCAACGACCTGAGGATTTGCTTTTACCCCTTGACTACATCCATTTCAAAAAGTTTTGTTCGCATTGCTTTCAATAAATAGCCATGGAGCGTTTGCGCAACCAACGGACTCACATTTACTTGAAATGGGACAAAATTACGAAGGCCTAAATTCTAAGCACATGAATGGATTTAGAAACCGTAATGCTGTTTTGGGAAGATGAAAAATGAGAAAAAAAGGCTTGCTGTGGGCTCACTTGTCTATGCAAATGCTGAGTATTTCATTCCCATAGGCATTTGCGCTTGTCGGAACGTCTTGAAAATTTTGGTACAGTTCCTCTTTTGAAGAATGTATCGTATCGAGGAGGAAGCACGACAAACCATGGCACTCCTCCTTGGAACAAGTTTTACAAGGTTATGTAGCTCTAATTCTCAGCGACCTTAGGCATCCTCAAAAGTGGTAAGCGGAGACTAAGGTAAGGCGCACCAATTTGCTTTCACCCGACACATTCAATAAAAATGATGGCAAAAAGTTTTCACACTATGTGTCCCAAATTTCCATCATTAGGCTTAAAAATTAAATATTGCCTTTAAAAGTAATGGCAGCTTTCGCACAACAAAATGAGATTCTTCGGTTTTACATTATTTACCCCTTTGAACAAAAATTTGCAAATCGTCGGTGTAAACGACGCAAAAAATGCCTTCTTTCAATCTTGCATTCCTGCTGATGCAGATTCAAATAAGATAGGTATCTGCAGGGCCACTCATATTTTCACTAGCGTTCAGTACAATTCTGGGTCAGGCATGGCTGGAATTCACTACGTTTACTACAGTTCCCCAAGCTCCTGCTATGCAAATGCGTTTTAAATTATCCAACCACCATCCTTGAAGCGTTAATCTATGGTGTAATGGCAGTTGAGTGGCATCAACTGGTACTCATCTCTAGTTATGGAATAATTGATGCGGTAACTGTGCTTGAAGTTACATGAAAGATGGATTTTAATGCAAACCCTACTAAATAGGTGATGCTCGAAGCTCGGCTACTACATAGCATTCGATATTCTCAACGGAATGGAAAACAAAATAAACTTATTTAGGTATTTGCACGTCTACTGTCAGCTTACCAACAGTGCAGCCGTCAGAACCATTTGTTACAAGTATGTCATAAAGTGACTCGATTAAAGTAATGTTTCCACCTACATGCTCTACAGAAATTCATTTGAACCCTTTAAGGCTTGGTGTAATGCACACTAGTGCTTTTAAATTGAGCTTACAGGAAAGAGGCGATCATCCAACACTAATTCTCCCGTATGCTGAGAGTGGGGCAGGAGATGCTGCACTTTGAAATATCGAAAACATCGGAAATTGAGGCCTCGCTGTTGCCTAGATTAAAATGTGACAAAGGTGAATAATGAGCTTGCATCCTCTTACCAAATCCCAATGACTAGCCATACCAACCTTGCTTCAATGCCAGACTCATTGAATAAGTGCATTGACGAATTTGCACTCATTTCGCAGACCCACACACTAGTAAAAGCAGCTAAACTTAAATAAGGTAAATACATAGTTGGTAATACGACGAAATGGCGCTGGTCAACTCCTTTTTGGCTACTCAGAAAAGGCCAAGAGCTACTACAACGCCTATAGTATTTTAAAGGAACACAACTTTAGCCTATTGCTTAAAGCAGATCTGACCTCCCGAAGGAGCCCACTTCGTGACTGCCTGGTTGGAAATCAATAGTTTCCTTCTCTATACACGTCTGTAAATGCCTTAGACCAATCAACCTCGTGGTAGAGGTAGGCGTAGAGGAGTAAAATGTCCATTCTGCAAACTAGAGATGCCACTCGCCATGATGTTGATATTAACTCTCAGAACAGAGAGCACGACGGGATGTTTTGAAGCAAAAGGTGGCAAAGTGGGGCAAAATCACCTTTTTAAATAAGCATTGGATCTAATAACAATAACTTGGAGCTGATGTGCAAAAAATAGGCTCCCATTGTTCAATTAACTAAAACTGCTGCAATGATTTTTTCGTTTAACCACCGGTATATGTGGCGACCACATGAGTGACCACATTGCTTCTGCTGAATGGGATGACATCTGGGCCCACATTCTTTTCATTTTACCCGAGTGCATACATTCAAACCACGTAAACGGCCCCGTAATACACATAGAAACAGTCTCTGGATTGTATAAGTGTAGTTTACAGTAAGCAATATAAATTGGAGGCTGTTGCGATTTCCGCCTAATTTATATTACCGCTAGCGTTATGTATTTAAAATCGCATAAATCTACCTTGTAGAGTGGAGAGAGAGCTTTGGTCTGACTGGTAGAAGAGCATTGAAAAGCTCCTCCTGCATTGTTTGCTACCCTTTGTGCCCTAACTGCTCAATGAAACTTCTCCCAGACGCCAGACCTTTAAGAATGATGAATAGGTCTTACTTAAGACTGGTAGACATTGAAAAAGCTGATGATACATCTTTAACAATAATAGAAATTTGGAAGTCCATCAAAATGGGAGACCGATTGGATATGTCAATAAATAATTCTGCTACTATATCTAAATACAAACAAAGGTTTATATAATTTATTTGCCTTGGTGCGTACTAAAATGCATTAATATATAATTGCTGGAAAGAGTTTGAAATTGTTGGTGATTATTTGACTTAGAAACTTGAATAAATACCATTAGGTGCGCTTTGTCCTCACTGGCTGGTTTTGATTACACAATTTTGGTGTTCTGATTGGTTTGCTGGGCCCTGTGTGTTTTACTGTTATTCCAGCCACCGTTTACTGGCGTGATTTGGTATTCATTTTTGCGGTTTAGAAATAAAACCTTCTCACTCACCATTGCATAAATGATAGGTGGCATTGTCGTTGTCCTGCATAACTAAAGTCGCTTTGTTTTTTATCGGAAAATAATGTCGAGAACTCGGCCACGGCGCCTTGCAGCTCAGTAAGCGTCTCGTTTGTTTTTTTCTATTTTTTTTTTACAAAATTAGAAAGGCCATGTCTTCTTTTGTAATACCTGAAAGCGATGAGGACGGTGTGCCTAGTCCGAAAAGTCAACATTCGGACTTCGATGCATTAGGGGAGGAGTCTTCATCCTCATCCACCTCGAGTAACCCGAATTCTACTGAAATCTTGTCGGGAGATGCTAATTTTGAAGACCGCAGCCAATCTAGACGACTTGACGGTGATACTCGTGGTCCATGTGTTCCCCCACTCTCGCATATCCTCCCTCCTTTCGGTAGAGTCGGCTTTACCTCCAGAACACCTTGTAAAATTGCATTGGAGATTTTTCAAGAAGAAATTAATTACCATGCGTCCCTTTGTAGCACACAGCTGCATCCATTCTCCTTCTTTTCATCGTAAGTTCTTGGTCTCCATAATAAGTGCTTATTAGAAAGTCTGGGTTGCCGGAGGTGTCTGCATTCCTACACAGGCAGCGCATGCTATTCTCTTTAAACTCACTGACGCCTGTATCCGAGAAGTATGGCATGGAAACAGTGACGCGTCATTGTTTAGGCACCTAGAGAAATATATGCCGGAGTCTTTGAAAAGTCCCACAATGGTATTCTTGGATGAGCAAAGGGAGGTTGAGACATCGCGTTTTCATTTTGATCAAGGTAGTTTGAATTTTCTGGAAACCTGATTTCTATGTCTAGTGCTTTTTTGCGAACGGTCTCCTATTACTCTGTGTGTTAGTAAGAATAGAATCTGTCACTCGTACTTTGCATAATTTAGGGTCTTTGAAGGAGCATAATTTGGATTTGTGGCTCATTGAGAGTGTTTTGTTGCTTGTGTAGCTCACAACATCCTATACGCGGGTGGCTATGTGAAATGCCTTTCGTGGTCTCCGCCCTATATGGATGAGAAGGGTGTTTCATTATCTTTTGTGCCTGGGTACCTGGCTATTGCCTGTCATCCAAACATCGGTACCCGAGTCAATTTGAGCGACCCTGTCAAATCTGACTTCGGTCTTATCCATGTTTGGTCCTGCACCGACTTGGCTCTCACTGCTAAGTATGTTTTTTATCGAAGACTTATACTTTCCTTCTGGGATTCCCGTTTACATAACTTATTATTATCTGCGGATTTCTTTACACTGTGAACTCAATCAGTGTGCAAAATTGCTTTAATTGACACGCTTTTCCCGGTAGCATTAATTTCCACCTTGCCCCCATTTATTGCCACATGCTGGGCGAGTTACTTGGATATACGGCAAGTTTCGCCACCACGCTCCTGAGTTCTGATAGACAAGACATTCAACCTTATTGTGCTAATTTGTCTGTCCTTTGTTACGATGTTTTTGTCTCAAATCTTGCTCCCCTTTAGACAGTCATGCCCTCAGTTGAAGCCCCACTTTTTCCTCGCCCATGATTGGGGTCATGTAATGGATTTGCGGTGGTTGCCTGTGCCCGTTCAATGTGCAAACCATTCGGATGGGTGTGAACCAACCCGACCCTTGCCTCCGGTGGAAATGACTCCAAAGCAGGTTGCCCAGCTTATTGGCGCTGTGGTGGGTCATCTGATTGCCGCCTGTACTGATGGTTTTGTTCGTATTTTCTTGGTCCCTGCGGTGGACAACCGATTTAATCTGCCAGAGGAGTTTAAGGTTGTGCTCCCTACCAAAATACACGACGGATTACCCCAAAATGTTTATAATTTTAAACCAAAGACGGTGCTTCGATTGGCACCTAGTACAGGTGATACCGATCACTTTTCTAAATTTCATCAGTAAGTTGGGAAATTCTTGACTGTTTTATTTCCGCCCTTTGTCCAGACATTCCCTCTTGGTTGGGATGGCCAAACGTTCTCGCTATACGAGGTGATTTTCCCCATCGTCTTGTTGTCGGTTATACGAGCGGTATGTGCAAAAAGCATTACTTCCACCGCCATATAGTGATGTCCCGTTTACACGATATTTCATGTCCATGTTAGGTCATTTAGGTCTCTACAACCTTTCTACACTGAACGCACATTTTGCAAAATTGAATGACTGTCTCTTGCGGCCGATAATTCTCACTCATCTCATTCCTGGACCCTTCACCTCCATTGCTCTCCACCCTCTCTATGAGGGCATTGTCGTCGGACTTGGTAAGTCAGTAGACTTTTGAAACTACCTTAGTACTTATGAGGGCTTTTTATCTCATCTTAAGCCTCATGCAATCTAAGAGTTGGTATCACCGTCCATGTTGAGGAGGTCATTATGCCCAAATATCTCACTAGGAGCTTACATTCGAATGCTCAGTAAGCGTCTCGTGTGTGGTCATGCAGGCTTAGATCGGGAGGTAAATGTGTGGGACCTGGCGGATCCGGAGTGTGTGCAGTACGGCCTACCAGAGCTTTCCTGGCCTACCTCGCGTATGGGCTGGGGTGGCCATGTGGTATGGCCACGAGCCAGTGATAGTATCTGGATAGGTCGTGAGGAGTATCTCTTCCCTTTTACCAAAAAGAGCACACCCGGAGGTGCCGTGACTTTGGCTAGCCTCAAGAAGCCTTCCGATGTGCCCGCTCGCATGCGCGCCTACACTGTCTGTTTCCCCACCGTTTCCCCCATCGATTGCTCTCGCTACTGCTTCGACCGCGGGTTCGAAGCCACCACAGTGAGTATAACACTCTTTCTTCTTTTGAAGCCTAGCCCCTGCCTATCTCCTTGGGTTTGATCCATCAAAACTATTGCAAGAATTACTAGACTTACCAAAACTTCCCTGGTTTTGTATTGATTTTTATGCATAAATTATTGGAAGACATGGTCAACGTAAATAACCGCCTGCACATACGCTGAATACACTTAATAATTAAGGGTGGCTTGGTGCCTAGTGTCCCAGTGGACAGCTGAGTAATAAACCACATAGTTGATTTACCGTCCCTTTGCTTTTCATACCTGAAAGTCAACTAGTATTTGCTTCCATATTCGGCATGTAATTTCCACAGTGTAGTGCATATTTAGTAAGACAATGCCGTTGATTTGAGTTATTCAATCAGAATTCGTCCCACCAATTTTGAGGTGCTTCTTTAAATTTAGTGTCTAGATTACTCGGATTCGCTTGGGTTTCTTGTTCAAGGCGACGCAAACGGACAGATTAATTTCCATTCTTGGGTGCTGGATCCGCGACGTGTGGTACGGGAGAAGACTCGTATTGCAATTCAGGTGAGTCACTTGTGTCTCTGTTAAAATCTTACACTAGCTCTCCCTACGAATTAGTGGAAAATGATGAGTCGCTACTTTTTTGGTTGCATTATGCATTAGTGCTTGCTCTCCTTTTTTCCTCCGGAAGAAGAAACACCGAATGTATCAGTGGATCATGCGAAAGCGAGCCAACATACGAGAGCGTGGCAACGAGGCTTCGGCAACCCAAGGCTTTACTAACGAGCAAAATACTCTCAGACTGGACGTTCTCGAGGAGCCCTTTGAGGAAGCAATTCGACAGAATTGCGGCATCTGCGGCGAAAGTGGACAGACTCTTTGTTGGCATAAGGTGGAGCAGTATTTCGAATTCGTGTTCAGGGTAATTCTTTAAGAAGTTCCCCATATTGTCAAGCTGCAATGGAGATTATAATAATGCGTTTTCTGTAGGAAGGTGTGGGACTACAGAAGAGCAAATATGACTTTGTTAATTCCACGTTTTCCAGTATAAGTAAGGTGAGTAAAATGTTCGGCTTTTGTTTAACATTATTATTAATTGTGTACTGATATCCTTATTTTTTGAGCCTCAGGTAGTCCCAACAATGCTTGTGAATTAAGCGTCACCTTTTACCTACCAAAGCGAGCTTTACTTAGTGTTAGCCGTTGAGATGTGGGTTTGTTAAAATATGACCTTCCATCCTTTGCAGGTGGCCGTGTCACCCAATCCTGGGTCGGCTAGTTGGATAGCAGTGGGCACGGGGTTCGGCATAGTACAGTTGCTGTGTCACGAACAGTTTTACCACCCCAGCATGGACTCGGCGTTGGGGCGCTCGCCGCTGACTGGAGGGCCGGAAAAAGGAAGTTTTTTTATGTCTTCAGGGCGCGACGACACCGACTACTCCGACAGTGAAGCCACTGTCTCTTTCCGAGGGGAGGATCCGTAGAACTATGAGGTTTTCATGGTTGACCTTTTGTGTAAGATGTTTTCTGTATGTAAACATAGGCACTCGTATCCACTATGGACTGGGAAGTTGTTCGTTGTAGGTTCGGTAAAACGCTTATTAAACCGTTCATATTGTTTTTGGGTTCGTTATAAGGTTACCAGTGGGGGTGTTTCGCAGGCTCTTGAAATGGATCAAATAGGAGGTGTGTATTACAATCTTGAAAGCATATTATACAAGTTCTGTTCATGTAATAATTACAGTTGGATTGAGATTAAAAACTGCAATTGAGTGCATAAAAACTGGAATCGAAAACTAGCCTGATAAAAATGATAAAAATTCCTATCTGGGTTAGGCATCGTTTGTTGCCGGTGCACAGGCCTCATAGTCGAAGGGTTCCATCATACCTCCTGTGCGCTTGATAATCTCAGCAATTGTGAGCGACCGTCCTATAAGTATGACAAGGATATCATCTATTTGATTGGGCAATTTGCAGTTCGACAAGTTTACGCCAGTTCTATTTCAAATATTCAACGCGCAGGTAAATTGAAGCACCAATACAGTTTCAGTTAGTGCCCGTAATTGGCCCTAGGCATTTAACTTAAACTGATTACGTAACGGTATTTTGTCCCTTTACAATGGTAAGCGAAGATGAGTGGGAATACGCAGGTCAAACAAAGAACTGTTACTAACCAGATCGCTCTCTACAGCCTCACCTTTTGGGACATTGTACGTAGCTCCCAAACCGTCTGGATTCGATGGCGTTTTGCAGTCATTCAGAGGATCCTTCCGTAGACATGTATCGATTTCCACAGAACTGAAGTATGCAACCGACTAAAGTGAAGGGAACGCGAGTTAGTACTGTTATTTCGGAAATGTGCGACATATAGGAGAAAGGAAGTCCACCTCCGGCAAATCATTCATTCCTAGTTGAAAGGCGAAAAGCGCTCGGGTTAATAAGTTGCTTATCTACAAAAAGCAAGAAGGTGATAATCAGTAGTTCTGATAATGGGACAAGTAGAGAAGGCGTCTGTGGACCTGGAGGGCGAGAGCAATCTGATCGGCGCAGCGTTGATCGCAGAGATAGCGGACTTCATCGTGAATGCTAATGCATAGGCGAGCACGCAGGTTGTACTTCTTTATCAGCCAGGCCATGAAAACAAGGAGGCAGTGAAGGTAGTCTACAGCCGAACTCTGTACCACCCAATTTATGCGACTGGGGAGGAACTTGACGAAAAAGGTACAACATTTAAGTATTGGAGCATCTTAAGCAATTACTCTTGTTCAAAGAAAGGAACTTACATCGTCTTTGACAGCCTTAGGAGTTAATGTTCTGGTTATCTGGGCGCCAAGTACTGGGGTTCGCGGTTCAGGACTTCGAGCAATCGCCTCGAGTGCGTTGAATACGCAGGACTCCGTCCCATCCTTCCAAATGTGCTTAGTCTCCACCTCTCCCTTACTACCCTTTCCTAGATGCACTAGGACCCTACGTCCTTTCGTCGCTCGCATCAACTTCTCCGCCTTCAAGCTCGTCTCTTCGGGCTGTGGAAGACAAATCGAACCACCACATTCTGTTAGGGAAGGTGAACGAATCGTCTGATGACAAAATTTATCAAGACTAAGGACACTATCACTTATTTGGCCAGGGACATATATTAGTAGCAAATGAAACCCGAGTTTTGTTTTTAATATCACCTGTATCAAACGATGCCTGAATCATGAGTAATTTTCGCAATGGGTGCTAGAGATAGCTGACCCTTAGGGTCATTGCTGCCTTAATAACACGATGGCAATGGAGGCAGGTTATGATAATAAAAGAGCGCAAATTACACGTAATTTTGACTGAAACTTGGACAGTAGATGCTTGGTAAACTCGAGTCCTGAACCGTAAAGGCGAGCGTAATTTAGAACTTTGGCTTCGTTGCGCTTGATGCCAATAAGATTTGCCGTTTTGGTGTGCAGGTCCGTGCCCTTGGCCTTGCTGCCCTCCAGGGTCATCCAGCCATAGGGAGTTCCGCCTATTCAATTTCCATAAGGGAGGAGAGTAGAAAAATAAGCAAAGTAGCAGAAAATGGCATCAATAAAAGTACACAAAAATAATTGCATTCGATAGGTTACGATCAGAATCGCTATTTAGTAGCAGAATGGAGAACTACTCCAACATCCATTACACTAAAATAGCTGCCATTCAAACCATCATAACACCTTAGGGACTGTAGTTTGAGGATAATCTAATGGACTGCTTAGCCCAAAAATGGAAAACAAAGCTACTCACCAACACCTACAGACTAAATGCTTTCTTAAAACGCAAGTGTTCCGTATTTGCTTGGTATAATGACCAGAACAAATGCGAGTGCCGAAAAAAGAACACTTGAGCTGTGTCTTCGGTGGTATTTTGAGGATTTAAAAAATTTACCAATAGTAACTCTAGAAATGTTTCAAAAAGTCCTAGTAGCGAAAATAACTCATGAATAATATCACAAATAATAAAATCTTGGCAAGTAAAGAAAGGTTATTTTAAACTTAAGCCGGCAAAATTGCCGTATTGGAATCTGAAAACGACTTCGTAAAGGTGACAGTCACTGTGATTAGTGTCTTGGAGAACAATGACAATTAAAAATGGCGGCTTGTAAAAACGGAAGATTTTACCAATGATCACAATGAAGAGCAAGAGAAGCAAACTAAGATGGGAGGGAAGGGGGAAAGGAAAGGGGAAAGAAGTCACTTACCCTGGAAGCCAACCACCGAGTCGCCGATGAGGGAGGCAATCCACATCTCCTGTGAGTCGACGTCAGCTCCGACGAGACAGAATCCGGGAGGCGCCTGCACCATTGCCTTGATCTCGCTGCCCAGACGCTCAGGATCGGCGTTGCTGGCGGTGAGCCAGAGGGGTTCCACCGCTCGCCGTGATATGGTTCCCGCTGCAATTACTTGTGGCAGTATTGCACCATACCTGCGTCCGCATGACCCCATTCCCCTCTTAAGAACTCTAAAATAGTGTTAGTGATCAGAGACCTAAATTCATTTCAATCCTTACAGAAGGCTTAGAGACTTGGTTTTCCATGCATGTGAAAGGCACGACATTCATAGACAACTGCTCTAAGAGCAAGATTATTTAGCCGTCGGCGTTTTGTGTTTACTTGTTTTGTGGGTGAAGAATGAGCTTGCCATAGCTAGGACTGAATAATTTCTTCACTCGAAATTAGCCCAAAGTGGGCAACAATTTCGTGTAGTAATAAAACTAGTCAAGCCTTGTGGAAAGGTGAAGTAGTTATTCGCATATAATTTACTCAAGATTGAATTCCAACTTTGATGGACTCAACCGAAAAGATTACTAATTATTGGCACGAATGAACATACGCTTGAACAGTAGGTGGAAGCAGACTTGTTTCAAGAAAGACATACATCTGTGACCTAAAACGTTGGAAATCAGTTAGTAGAGATGCTATAAACAGCTACGGTAGTAAAGCATCATAAAAGAAATTGAAAAGACATTTATAAATATGAGTGATGCATGCGTTATGCATTATGTATGCCATTGTGCAAGCACTTAACCAATAATCACAATAAACGATCACTGAAACGCAAACAACGTGGCATGGGAAAAAAGTATACAAACATGACACGCTTGGAGTAGCTCTGCCAGAAGGAGGCGCGAATGTGATCACGGAGAATCTGGTCGGCGGAATGATCTTCGCCTTTGCCATCCGGAGGAGAACTGTACAGACGTCCCGAGGCTATGTGCACCTGAAAGGGCTTCGAGAGAGGCGACCCAACCGGATGTCCTGTGCCAGCCTACAAAAAACCACTGAAGCACTGATGCAGCAACCAAACTAACGCAAATTAAAACACCATGCGAAACACCATAAAGCCGTTTATTCCGAACTTTTAGTTTTCAGCCTTAGTAAATTGGCTTTCCATATCACACTACAGTCCCATTTACCTAAAAGTTGATCCAGTCAACAATTCATTATGCTATGGAAGAGTAGGTGACAAAATAATAATGTGGTAATCTAACCAACTACCCATGCAGAGGTTCCAAAGTACGCGAGAAACAAATTGACTTTTCGTTGCCACAAGTGGTGGACTTCAGGCTAAATGTCCAGATGAACTGTTTGCTTTGAGCGCCAAAAAAGTAGGTCCAGTCAAACCCTTTCAGAGTAGTTTCCAAAAGTTGGTGTGGTGACTGAAATCCCACCATTTTAAGGTGGTACTTTGCGCTTATTACGGCGCTGTAGAAGGGGCGTGGTAAAGAGGAAAGTTAAAGCAGGTAAACAACCTCGTTGGGAAGGGGACAGAACCAGCAAGTGGGGATCTCCGGATTGATTGTATCTGTGGCCCAGCGACGAAGTTTCTTTCGGCGACTAGCTGATGTCCATCTAACCAAGTGGTCTGCCTCGTAGCGATCCCGATTTTCCCAAAATAGTACGCCCCTTGCCTAGGCACCGTTAAATGAAGTAACCGAGTAATGTAGCATAATGGCATGATGACGGGCATCTGCATACCTGAAGTTCTCCCAGGTTTTCGTATATTGGTGGCAGAGATTTCTGCAAAAAATGGAATCACTTCAGTTAGAAAGCAAAAGCACCTAAAACGCAGTATAATAGGAGGGGCTAAACATAAAGAATGTAAAATAGATACTATTAGATATCATTGGATGAATCCATCGTAGCTAATCTTCAATGTGACGATTGGGACCACAGTTGAAAAAGATGACAACTTGCCATTAGGAAAAGCAGACCATGCTCTGTAGGCACATATTTTAGGAAATGGGAATACCATTTAGTATCAGTCGAAGAGAGCAAAGTGTGATAAAGTCATCACCTAGTGTGGTTTCATGGAATCCAACACAGAGACTTTAGAAAGGAAGTTTACTAAAACAAATCAAAGTATCGAAAGAGAAGATAAATGACGAAAGTCTACTAGCATGACAGGTACAGCAGATAATAAAAGAGCATCACTTACGTTTGGCTCAATCGGTTCCTCACGGCTATTAGCAGATATCGATTTGAGAGAAGAAACGAGGCGCTTTACAATGTTTAAGTCAAGCGGCATCACTTCCACACTGCGACGCAGTTCATCCAGAAGCAGATTGTCACGGGGATCGGGATTCGTACGAGCCTCAAATGCGGTGCGGGAACTCACATTACATAAACGCTCCTCAATTTCTTTCCGCCAATAGTGAAGATATTCTCTGTGGTTAAAAGTGATTCAATTGCCATGAGAAAGCCGTTGAAATGGCGAAATACAAGCGACCAGAAGTACCTGTAGGGAAACATGAGCTCATCGACACCAGCTGCAGACGTTTTGGTAACCTTAAAGATAGGTAGAATTTGGTGTGCTGGAGACTCGTCAGACTGACTTTGATCATAATACCGAGGATCGCCAACCGGCTTCGGTACTCTACCGGGAATAAGTGTACCCCACTTCAACGTCTGCATTGATAAAGTAGACGAAACAAACAGTTATACTTGGTCATAGTGAAGAGGAAGGCCTTTCCAACAAAGGCGAAGTAACTTTGGTGCAATCTTCATTTGCGCAGTTATCAACGCAGGCCCACTCTTGTAGTTATCCTTCATGGGTTTTGGAATGAGTTCACGGTACCACCTAAACATTCAAGTGGCAAATAAAGTTAAGAACTTACTTGGGTAAAGATGCAAGAAATCTAGCACCTTCTGTTTTCTAAAATCGTAGGCAAATTAGGGCAAGAAAATACACGCTTTAAAAGGAACGAAAGCCTACATTTGCTGGTTTTTTTGGTTTCGACCAATCTAAATCCCAGAGCCAGGGATCCTTCTCATAGCTACATGCAATTCAAAGGGGAAAATAGCAGTATTTAATCCGATTGCTCAATTATTACCAATGTTCTTAGAACAATACCTTTTGTCATTCCCATTGTGTTTTTGCAAAGCATCTTCAGCTAGTCGCCGAAGAAGCCTTTTTTGTTTTTCATTCAGATCATCATAAGATTGGTTAGCACGTTCCTGAAAATCGATCCAGGACGAATTAATGGGCAGATACATGCTGCCCATTTCAAGCAATCCATAAAAAGTTGCCGGATGAGGAAACCTGACGATACGATAGATAGTAAAGTGCCCAGAAAATGAGGATCCTACCTTTCTTGATAAAGTTTCCAGAGATTTTTAAAAGTTTCAAATGTCATTTTAACATCGTTTGCGCAGTAGGTGGCAAGAGCCTGTGAATGTCGAAAAAAGTACATAACGTATAATACTATTTACCTGAAAATTATCAATTACATCTCCCTTGGAGCCCTTCTCGAACAATGCGCGCAACGCCTTATTTTGATAGGGTTCCTTTTGACAGTAAAATTTAAAAACATCAAGAAGGCTGTTTAGACTTGCACCTTTGATCCAATCCAAGGACTACAGGTAAATAAGAGCAATTAACCCAAACCTCAGGATCATTAGAACCACTTTTAGCATTGTGTTCTGCAACGAAGTCTTTCCATAACTTATTATTGTAAAGGTGCTTATCAGATGCCAATTTTAAATTCCTCTGCGTGCTGGTAAGACCGGAAACGCAAATATGCAAGGACATTGTGTCTAGAAAACGGAGCCCAGTAGGCTAAGAAATAAACCGCACTTCCAACCCACTTCAATTAGGTATTCCTCGAAAATTCTTGCACGGTCATAACTGACAAAGTGTCCAATGATACATTTTGGGGAGGATAACGGACTACCGTCTGGATAAAATCGGATAAGATCATCCATTGCGACAGATTTTGTCGATCTCGTGGACGAAAGAAGTCTAGAGGAGACCCAAAGATACCAGAAATCTGAAGATGCCGCAACAGCAATGATAGGAGCGTGACTTTCATTCACCAAAACCTCAGTGTCGAAGACTAAGATTTCATCTGAGGGGCAATCAATCCTAAAATGCGAGTCCTTCCCATAAGCCGTCCAACCCGATAATAATTTCCAATTCTTTGGGATTTCAGGCAACGATGGTAGCCTTTCAATAAGTTGTAAGTACGGCTTGGATAAACGAGATGCAATCGACTCAAAATGCTGCTTGATGTTTGAGCCCGACAAACGAGGCAAGTCAATATAATAGGGTGTTTCCCCTTCACAACGGTCAAACGCATTAATTCCATGACTTCTAAGTCTCTCACAGGCTTCTCTAGATATCTTGTATGAACAAATGGGTTTTGCAAACAGCTGCCGTTGAAGGCGTCTGTCAATCATTTGAATGTTCACTTCATTGAAGACCACCTCCTGCTTATTAAATCTCATTGCTTGTGCAACGGTAAATCGTCGAACACACAATTTTAATATACAATTACATCCCATCCTACAAAACAGTAGGAAACAGTTCTAATGTTAATTGGTTCACGTGCGCGAGACGCATGTGCCGCACTTTGAAGGATTTATGGAAGTCTTTGTTGTTGATTCATTTAAAGTAAATCTTAAATTGCTTAATCTTTTTGTCTTAATTTGTTGCTAAATGTTTACTTTTGAATCAAGGAAATCGTGCTTACCAAATATGCTGCTGCTATACATATTCTAGCTTGTTTACGAACTACCCTCATTAGTGCATGCACTCTAAATCAAAGGGAGATGGTGCGTAACTTCCAAAAACATTGACATATAACAGCCAAGTTAACATATGCAACTGAAAATCCTTGCTGGTATCCAACTTATCCTGCAGAACTAGTCATCATTTCTAATTTTACGCAAATGGTTGGCGATATGGCAAAATTTAGAGAAATTTTCTAAGTAAGCACTACAGTGCCAGATTTTTAACGTTGAATGGTTCTTAGAGATCAAAACCCACCTTACATGGACCTATTTTTGAGAAGTGATGAAAGATTAAATTGACATTGAGCGTACCCGGTCGCCCACCCCATGTTGACTTAAACTTATGCGTGCGACAGCTTTAGGCGCAGACTGCACAGAACCTCGACCCAACGCAGTCCCACCGATAAAGGCGACCATATCAATGCTGGGTCTGATATCCACTCGATGAAACTATCTGTTCGTTAGTACATCATAAGTTCGGGTAAGAATTCTCGGGACATGGGTGCAGTAGAAATTGGATGCTTAAATCGTGCTTTGTAGATGGGAGACGGGAACTCAACCGAACGCAGTGTTCGAGCCACCGGCGGAGGAAACGTCCTCCCTCTCTAGATGGACCTTTACCACTTCCTACGCTTCTGACATTGTAACCTAGAGATGGAAATAAAACGCTCCCAGAAACGCTCTCTTCTGAAGGTCTTAAAAAGAGGAAGTCCAAACTGGTTGTAGTGATTATCAAACAAGTTACATGAGAGGTAACTCCCTCTAAAATGCCTACCTTGTCATCGCTAAACAAAAAGTTCAAGATCAATCGCGGTATGTTCGCCTTTCTGTTGCTCAAGAAAGGTGTGGTAAGACAGTAGGCGGGAGAAACAAGTCAAGCTGTACATTGCATGACCATTACAAAAAACAAACATATCCATAAAGTTCATGATTCCTACAGCGTAATACACCAGCCTCAAATGTTAACGCGCTTGACAATCGCTTTTTTGCCCGAAAACGGAGCTGCTGGAGAAATTGATGGGCCTGAAAGGACATATAAGGGGAAAAAACCTGAGCCATAAAATCGGGTAAAATAGTACAAGCTAAGTATCAAAGTTGAATGACCTTGAAGTGCTGAGTCAGAGGATGTCAATGGACGTGAAATGCGGCTGTTTTGTCTGCACTCCTTCAGTAAGTGCATCCGCCAAGCGTCTTCGTTGTTGCTATCTTGCACTCCGTCGTCAGCCAAGTCCGCGTGGCAGAGGGGACAGCGCAGTGAAGGATTCGGTGCTGCTTTGCATGAATTGTGCTTGATAAAGGTGGCATTTGGAACAGCCTCACTGCAGCGCTCACAACGACGATAACCACCCAACTTATTAGACTTTGGACACTCGTTCAGTAAATGTTCTGTCAATCCGGACACCTCAACAACCTGCAAGAGAAAAAAAATGGCTTAAATAATCAGTAGGTCTAATAGAAACGGGAATCCCTTGATATAAGGAAGCATTTATTCACACCTGTTTGCAATTAGGGCAGCGTCTTAGCATGGGACACGACTTCCAATAGTGCATGTCAAGCGTCTCCTCATTAAAGGCGTCATTCTGTTCTCCACAGAAGATGCAAGTCTTGTCGAGGCACAAAAGAAGGTCCAACTCGCTGTTGGTGGCAGGTGGGGAGGCTGCCGCTGAGAGTGAATCAGTGGGCACCAACGTGAGGGATTCTCTTGACGTAGGGCCGTTCTTCAGTGGTGGTAGGGGTATTTGCCCCCGAATGCGTCTGTGATGCTTTAGAGCGTTTTGCTTTAGTGCAAAAAAAGACTTCACATACTATCTATGACTATAAAACCCATAACTGTGCGCATAAAAAAAATTATTCAAGCACAATTGTTGCAAAAAATCACATACATCATCGAATCGCTTTTGAGGCACTTTGAGGGATGGTGGAAGAACACCAAACGGATGATCCCGACCATCAAGTTGATCGAATTTAGCAAAAATTCGTCGGTATAGTGGATGTCGCTGGGCCTCCCAGTCATTCGGAGGCATAATCTGACGAATTAGATTTCTATCCTCTGATCTGTACAACGCCACAATCAAAGATTCAGCCAGCTCGCGAACCTATGCGAAAGAAGAAAATGCCGCAAAAAGAATCACCAAATCTTAATCCCTTGACATCGATAATATATTTGAAAGGTGTAAACAACCAAATCAGCACAAAGTTTAGGACAAACACCTGCCTCATTCGATCGGTGTTCAAGAGCCTGAATGGTGAATATGACGAGATCCTCAATCTGGTTAAATGTATTTCTACTCTCGCTCTTATCGTCCGAGCCGCCAAAGTCGGCGTAGATATCACTCACAATTTGCATTTGACATAGAGCCAGTCGTTCTAGGGTAGTTGGTTGAAAGGGTCGAAGGATTTCATGCCAGAATCCTCCACCTTTTCGAAACTATGTGGGGTGCAAACGCAAATAGTTGTATCAGCAATAAATCACTGGCATCAAGTATTTGTATTCAAACGAACCTTATCGTTTTTTATCTGATATTCCAGCCACTATGATGAATGATTACTAAAATCAAAAGCCGTTCTAAATCACGAAAGATGAAGTATTAAGATCAGAGCTATATTGAATGACTACTTTAATGATGCCACTCATTTCAATGAGCAGACGTTTTGAGACCAAAAAAGTAAAGCGCATTATCTAACTTACGATGGGCCATTTGGCCATTGTAATTAACTGAGCCTTGGTAATGTCACGAATTCGTAAAGATGAATCGCCAGTGCGTTGTAAAAGAAGTCGAACAATCTTGTCAAGCGAGTTGAATACTTCCGGCCTCGCAATGTGATGACGTTCACCAAAGTCAACAATAGTAGGATGAATCATCTCCAGAGCTTTTCGGTAAAGAGTCAATACCTTCATGAAAAGAAAAAATCCCGATTTTATTCCAAAATGCTCCAATATCTGCACAGGAGTAGGTGGGAGGCGGGTACATTGATCAGTCGAGACTAAAAAGAAAATGGCCCACCTGTTCACTAAGAGCTTTTTGTAGAAGAAATGTAGTCGAGCGCAGTTCTCCAACGGGATCCGGGTCAGAGGACATTAACTCAAGTGACGCTGGAGGTGGAAGTGGATTCCGAGAAACCCGCTGCTCTAAATCTACTAAGGCCTGCTCTCGTAGCTTCCACGACCGACTGTAAAACAGCTGAACCTTGAAGAGCACGGACAGTTAAAAAAGGGAATAAAAGCATAGAGAAAAATGGTTTTCTACTTTACAATGCTTGAATACACGAAAACTTGAGAGGAGAGGAAATTGAGGTCGGCGTGAAAAGGTAGTTTAAGTGAGTGACATTACCAAGGGAAGACCAACGACATCGATTGCCACAGCAGCTTGCCGTTTTGTTCCCTCGGATAAACCCTGAAACTCGTTATCCTGCTTAGGAGACTTATGGTTCTCCTCAAGTTGGAAGGCTCCTTCCGTATCACTTTTTGTTTGCCTCTTGAGGAGTGCAGGCAGAGGGCGTTCGTCGGCAACGTTGTGGCCATAGTGCGTCGAAAATGAGTCCACACCGCTTGCTGAAGGGTCGGTGAGGCATGATTCCATATTAGTTTCGGGTTCTGCTTCAGTCGAATAGTGCTCTCCATGTCGAAAACTAACTATAATGGAAAAGGCCACTCATCTCACCAATCATGCAAATATTTTTAACAACGAAGGGTGTAAGAGGAAAATTGCAGATGTACGAAACACAAATCTCGCAGCATACAAGAACGGCCTTTCTGAACGGAAGCATATTCAGATGGCAACAAGATTGCTCACAAGGGAACGATAAAGCGTGCAACAGTGTGATATTTAGGCATTCGGTGAATTTCGCTGATAACAGCTTTGCATAATGATGCAATGATGACAACAAGAATAAATGACAAGCGGTGTGTAATGGCAAACAACAAGACTAAGCTTACTTGGCAGTTTGTTGAAAGACTAAGGAACAGACAGCCATAGGTAAAACGATGGCATAGTCAGACAATCACCAGTTAATGTTGGGATGATGACTGAATGGCTAAAGTATAGCTTACATTAGAGTTGAGTTGCAAACTAGGTATAGAATCGGTCGAGTGTGGCAGCTGTTTCGCTTGCCTCGATTCACACAAAACGAATAGATACATAAAAGCATGAAGCAAGTAACACATCATACCGCAGTGGGTCGAGGATAATGCTGAGGGTGCGAGTCAGCATTGAGGAGAACGTCAAGATCAACAGCGTGTGCCAATTTATTACGAATTTGAAGAATTTCCTCCTTTTTCGATTTAGCATCTTCGTAGTTTTCCAGCTTTACCGCTTCCTGTTTTTCAAATTCAAGTTTGCAAATCTTTTCTCCGACCTGGGTGTTCGGATAGTACAGTTATAAGCATTGTTCCACCGAATAAAGGCAAGCGCAAAATTGGGTAATCAAGAAGATCTCACCTCTTGGATATAACGGATGGCGTCACGTGCCTTTCTTGCCATGTCGAAATTTTCGCCTGCAACCAGAAAGCAAATAGCGTGTACACACTTTAAAGTTTCGAAATCGACAACTGTAAAATTGGATTGTTGCAAAATGCAAGTGAAAACGATAGACCAACAGAAATTATTAATGTAACAAAACTTACGACGTGCGTATTCCAACTTTTGGCATTGCAACTGACGGATAATATCCCCCAATTGAGGATCTTGATAAATACCAAACGCCAAATCATCCAATGGTGACACATTAATACTTTAGAAATGCACAAAAGTAAGATTCAAGCAACGACCCACAACATGGCAGATTCTTATAAATGAAACATACCCATCCACCATACTTTCATGTGACACAGAGTTTCCCGCTATACCACGCGAACATCCAATAAGATTAAGTGCTATAATGCTTATTTGGTTGTGAAGATTTTCCAGGTTTGCATAGTTTTTGTAAAGAAAGATTTGGAGATAGGAACCACATGCATCAACATGAACCGACTTCAACTCCCTTGCCTTAAACTGCGTGGCTTCGTTGTTAGACAGCTCTACATGGCTACCAAAAGTGAAAAAGAGTAAGTCGTACCCAAGTCTTGTAAACCGAGAAGTGCCCAAATTAATTGTATCTTCGCTGTACGAGTCGCCAACAAAAAATTCAACCTTCGAAGCTGTTAAAGTGGAGGTGTAAAACAGACAGCGAACCAATAAGTGACTGATGCGAAAGTATCTGAATCTTTCGGATTCTAGACGGTTTTTCTAATTCGACAACAATTTGTTGTGGATAAGGGCAGTTTTTCGCACTGCGCCATCCTCTGGTATTAGGCGAAGAGTGATTCAGTTCTATGGCCGGGTATTGCTCTTCTTGGCTTGTTATATGTACCACGCGAAACTTTATCTTATGTAGCATTTGTTTTGCGGCTGCAAAAAGAAAAGTAAGTAAAGTCAAGGGCGAGAAATGAGAGCGGCATCAATTTACGACTCATTATCAATTCCTAAAAGTGCGCACTCGGAACAAGAACGCGATCTGCAAGAACTAAATACATAAGCTAATATCAAAACTGAAACGCCGTTTAAGAAGAAATACTTATCAACGTGAACGCGCAGGTTTGGAAAGGGTTCAACTATCTATAGAAATCAAAAACTTCGTAAAACACTACCACATATGAACCTACAAAAGCTACAAGTATGATTATATATAGGGCTGAAACCAGTTACTGTCCAAACTACGGGAGATGGAATTTCCCAAACATGCAATGGACGGCAGCGCACATTACCAGAAGCAGTCGCGCCACTCCGCGTTTGAAATAAACAGCTCAATCATACTCCCGCTTACGTTAGTAAACATTCCATGGTATGAAAAAAGTGTCTAGAATAATCTTCTAACCTAAGATTTTATTATGCTTTTAAGGCAAAATTCGCGCGATAAAATTAGCATGTCCATTCTGTAAACTTTTATAACTTTCAAACAGCTTCTCTAGGTATTCATTTTTCATCATGCAGGCGTCTTGACACTAATCATTTTCGGTAGAGTTTTTCACAGTACAACTCAGTAATTATAAATGTACATTTATGTTGAACCGTAAAGGAATCCAAGGAGTGAAATGACCCATTAACCAGCTCGCTTATTGAAGGTTGAGTGGCCAAATAAAGACCACAGACCGAGACCTAAACTTCAACAAAAAGACAGACTTATTGCTTAGACACACGTTGTATGAAGGCTGTGTAGCGCTCCTAGAAGTAGTAAGTGGAGTCGAATGCATGTATTCCAGGAAAACAAAGTAGTACAAACTGGAACTGAGTATTTAATCCGCACACACTTCAAAATTTTTTCCGGCTGCGAAAACGATATATGTCACATCATAGGTGGTAAGTCAAATTGCCCTTAAAATTGTAGTTCACAAGTTAATAAAACCAACCGGTTTTCGTAACGCATCTATATTTATCTGATAAGATCGAGTTACTCAACTCACATCACTAGCACTGGTATAACGGACTGCATTTCTGAATTTTAAGTTGCTGTTGTTGATGTTAACATTACTAGATTTGAAGTATACCAGTAACGTCCCGAGGCTTCCCATAAAGTGGAAGAAGGCAGGGCAAATGGGCTTAAGCGTGGCCCGAAGGTCAGCTCACGTGTACGGGGGCTAGACAAACTCTTAAGTGACCGCCAAACGTCAGTTAGTCACATAAACAAAGTATTACACTGCCCTCTCCTCTTTTGAGCGACGTCCTCAGCGCTCCCCTTTGGTACACCTCCCACGCCAGCCATCACAACATATTCGGTACTACATGAAAGAACCCACGAGCCAACCGCGCCAGTCGATAGAGAGCATCAGAGTGAGGAACTGTACCTGGTCTCCTCAGTAGCTTCAACTGGATCTGGAGTTACGTTCCGTCTGACAACCAGATTCGGGGCCGCATACACATATTGACCATCAATTGCTTCCAGGAATAGATGATGTAACTCTGGTCTACAACATTCATGTTATAGGGGAAACGGGAAGAACCAGTGTTCCGTAAGTAGGGGGTACCATGGTGTCATTTTTGACACCTAATCACGAATTTTGTGTGGGAACTTCCGAAACGAAACTTTTCCAGTTTCTAATAGCTTGTCTGTGGAGCACGGGAATAAGGTGAAACCCAATGCAGACATCAGTCCAAGTCCTAACGTTGTGAAGGATTCAGGGATTCTCCGTCACCAAGGTAAATGCACCTCCTTCAATTCACGTCCCTTTTTGCCTGTATCTTCATCTACTACACCTCGATAGAGTCAGACTTCCTTCTACGCATGTGTAGCTCATGATTACCGGTGCACAACGTCAAAACGCGCTTCTTAATCCTGAATTTCTCCACCAAGATGTAGAATTCCTTTGCGGTCTTTTCTGCTGGTTGGATTATCAAGTTCTTGTCGTGAAAAGAGAGGTTTCGACTTTCCGACCAAGGGAACCCGATTTTGGGGTACCTGCATGTATTGAACCAGTGCACTATCCGGTCGAACCATTGTTCGTCGGCTTGTTCGTACTGTTCGTTTCCGGAAATCAGTCCATTAATTTTCAAAATTCAGGAACGCAAACGTAGGATGCAGTTAGCGGTGTCTGTTGGGCAATAGATTGTCCCGGACACTATGTCGTTTCTTTTAACAAACGACCAACGAAGAACAAGCCGCAAAAAGGGACCCCACCTCGGCTGCAGCAGAAGGTCTTCAAAAGCACTTTATACATAAAAGTCGTTTAAAAAACATGTCGGGTTCGCTTTCCGCTGCCATCAGTGGAGCGTCCCGAGGCTTTGTATAGGGTGGAAGAAGGCATAAGTGAGTTTGAATACAGATATTCCGAAGACGACAAGGCAAATGGGCCTGAGCTTGCCTCGAATGCCAGCCCACGTGTACAGGGTCCAGACAAACTCTAAAGTGACCGCCAAACGTCAGGTAGTCACATAGACAAAGCAGTACAATACCTTTGTGGATTACGGCTATCATGTTTTCTTAAAGTTAAACAATGGATCAAACTGTAATACATACTAGTTGTTTAAGTGGACTTTTGTAGGAGAGAGGCGGAACCAATTGGGAACACGAATCATGTGCGCGAAGATGGTGAGGAGTCTCTCTCCAGTTGATATCTCCTATTAGGCTTATCTGCATTCCATTCCCCATTCCTCCTGTAACAAATGCCAAATAAATCATCTGCAACCAACTCTCTCTTGAACTCTGAGGTTCGAGGCAAGAAACCAGGCAAGCAGCTCTTACACACATCTTTACCACTTTCTCCCACCTACATTTGCTTCATCAGAAACTTTTGACCAGAAATGGATCACGATCCGAATCGGGAATAGAGTTGCCCTTTAAAGCAGGCACATAGCTACAACCTTTTAGCGTTTCCAATGATCTCCTTCCTTTAACCTTTTTCGAGCATCGTTTTTTTTTACTTTTTTTATTTTTCATCTGTTTGGTCATTAACACTACCATTCCTTGGATCCCAAACAATGTCCGCCAGTGAGTAACTTTTCAATAGACCAGCACTTCAAGCGGGCGCGTATAAGCTTTAGGGTAACATTACCAAAGTGGGGTCGATGCGTGTCCCTACCTTCAAAAAGGTTTTGGGGTTAACTTTTAAGTTAAAAGGTGTATAAATAGGTACCGGCTTGGGTTCAAAGTAGGGTCAGCAAAACCTTTGGCAGCCCTACTGGGATTATAAATTGTTTTCGATGCTGGTGGGTGGCATCCTTTGTTCGATGTCACCTCGTAAACCTCAGCCATGGATTGGGAGTATCAGTATATGATCCACTACAATATGACAATGATCAAGTGACATAAAGAAATTCGTAAAGGGATCCTTTGTCCCTTTCCGAGCAACAGGTCCCACGGAGGTCAGTCTGTAATTTGGAGTTCTCCGAGGATCAAGCGGAACCTTTTTGATGTGATTGGTGTACAATACTAGCAAGTGCCAAAGACAAGCACTTTACCAATGAAATGAAGACATTTATGATATATTTTACGGTTGTGCATGGTTGGAGTAATGTGAACACATTTCTAAACATCTAGAAGAATGGCACATAACCGATTAATAGCAAGAATGCCTAAGTGAGCTGTACCGACACCGCGTTTAAAGCGAAGATTTTGAAGAAGTTTAGAGCAACCTTCTTTTCGAAAGACCGAAAAAGCGAAGGGACCGAAGAGTGAGAGCGCTGTCTACGTTCTCATGCTTTCTTGAGGATGCGTCGGAGGGAGTTGTGACGGCGTTTATGAGATCCTTCTGCCTGATAAGATGCAACAGATGATGCTCTGGAATGGCGCGATGAGGGTGGTAGGGAATGAGCTCGTTCATGAGGATTCCTGAACTCTCGTTTAGCCAACTTGCTAGCTGATTCATTGATGGCATCAATCCAGCGTTGAAGTACTTCAGCACTTACAGCCTGAAAAAGGTACTCAACACCATTAAAGAGCCTAAGACGGAATACAAAGGGTCGCTTTGTGTAGTCCAGAGCTGGAACAGCAATTGCGCCCCCCAAATCCACAGGGTCTTCGCCATGAAACGTTTCTTTCGTTTGTTCACGACGGGTGCGCCGGTCTCTGTAGAAGGTCAACCTTCCATCTGTTAGAGTTACGTAGATTGATGTCCATCCACGTCCTCGGCTATGACGTGATCCTCCGGCCTCTGACTCCCATTTGCGAATTAGAGGACCCTCAACGCGTGGCATCTCCTCAGTGGAAGTCGGTAGTGTGGTCTCTGGCTCCGCAGCTCCTACATGTGCTCCTGCAGGTGGTGTGTTTGCTGAAGTGCTTGGAAAACTTCCTTGAGGTCTGTAAAAATCCATGAGGCACAACATATAAATTAAAATCAGCTTCAGAAATACCGATTGCACAGTTTTAACCCATATTAACAAACCTGGTACTGGAAGTAGTTTCGGGAGTCTTCCCTGCCTCACCTTCCTCTGGAGGTGCTATGGATGTTATTGGCTCATCAGACGGGTTTGTTAATGGAGTGAGGCGCACCCTTCGAGGAAAGAAAATATTACCAGTGCTGGACGATGAATGGAGTCGTGGTGATTCTTCCTGATGTACAAGCGTTGATTTTGGTACTAAAGCTGCAGAAAGAGAGATTCTGGATGGGCGATTTTTTGGAATCGGTACTGTCCTTGCAATTCCTGTGGCTCTTTCAAAGGGAACAGGTGGTGAGTAGGAGGTGTGTGCACTCTGAGTTGCTGCTGGGCTTGGCACAGGTAAACTCCGTTCCTTCCGTGCACATGAGTCTTGGACGAGTTGACTCCTGCTGCACATTGGCTGCGGAGCCGTCAAAGGCAGTCTAGTGAAACTATCTGAGGGTGGGAGAAACTCGTGCACTGCGCGCCGAATGTTATCACGTCTTTGTTTTTCGTAACGGCTTGCATCCTCAGGTTTCCACTCCATAGCATGAATTTCCATCTGTTAATAAGGAAATCGGGGAAAAAGACATATGATAAGCGAACCCATTTTGACCATTTCTACAGCTGCAATTGTGGCCCACGCATATGTTCGCAAATTGAATGCTTTCACAGTATAGACGCATATTAAACCATTTGATGAGCATTAGAACAATGAAATTATCATCATCATTGTCCTTATTGGTAACAAAAATGACAATTCCCAACAAATTTTGTGCATAATATTTCCATTTTTTGTAGTCTCTCTACACAAGTGAAAGCGTTGTCGAACGTAAACTTATTGAATTTTGAAATGTAAGTGAATGAATTATGATTTTTTGGTGCATCGAACCTTGGTGAGTTGCTTGAGAGCAGCGAATCTCTCCTCGGCTGAGACACAAGTCCGCTCAAAGGCGTAGTGCGCACCAAGCAGAGCAAGCGTCTCCGCCAGCGTCTCACCTATATTGCGCCGCACCGAGACGAGGTAGACCTCACGGCTGACGAGCCAAGACTCTGCAGCTGCAGCATCACGCAAGTAGTACCGAACATCAAGCAGCATTGCCAGTCGTTCCCACCGCTCGCGCCACAGAGCCTCTATGAGGATGCGTTCTGTCGCCAGCGCCACGCACGTCTCCCGCACTTCACCTTGTGGTGCTGTCAATATCGCATGTAGACGGCTCATCGCGGGCCTACCAGCTTCGTCCACACTGGGGTGATTATCTATACCCAAAATTGCACGCCCCACACCCAAGCACTCTTCCACCTGTTTCACCTTAATTCCCAATTCCGCGTACAACTCCCGATGCTCTGCGATAAGACGCTCCACACCGTGTATTGTTCGGCTAGGCATAAATTAAGTGAAACAGATGATGATCACTTTATTAGTGCTAACTTACAGCTTTAGCTACATGAAAGCTTCATCAGTGTCACATGGATAATCACACTTTAGTTGTGAACCAGTGATAGCAGTTAAAACTAACTCCCATAATAAATGCAAATCTAAGAAAAAACCCTCTAATTACTCATAAATTCCTTCACCAATGGCTCTTCCAATTCACTAATGGAGAGTTTGCATGTCTACACGTAGGCAGCTCAAGTAGAACTAACAAATGCACAGAATCAGTTCAGGTCAGGTGCATGGGGATTGCACTATTCCCTCTTGGCCTATATTCAAGCCCAAGAATTTGGAAGTATGCGGATAGTTTTCTATTTTATTATCCACGATATCTTTGATGACAAATTGTTTTAAAATTGCCCAGTAGACGTGCAGTTATTGTCCAGGCTGTGTGAGCACAAATGCCTTTACCAACTCCTTAAGTTTTGAAAAACAGCTCAACTCTGATGGTGGTGTGAGGGTGTACAAAGGTTAAAAAGATGCATTCGACAATGTTGCATCCATTGTGCTTCCAACATTCGAAGCTACTCATATGCCTCCCAAGTCTAAAAAAGTGTTAACTATGAAGTGAACAAGACTTAGATGACCTCACAGAAAGGATAGCTTAGGGGTTGGTGATACATTCTCAGCACAAATTATTAACTACACTCATTTAGGGCTCAACAACACTTGGTGGGTCGTCCTCACTTTTACTTAATGAGGATTAGTGTCGCACTTCGAAAGGCTATTGCACCTTAGGCCATTTGGTTGACTCATCTTGTCCTTAGCCTCAGCAAACCAAGAGAGAAGGCCGTGCGCAGTGGAAAAGAAGTGGTGAAAGTGTTGCGCCTCCTCCAGCTGCCGGGCACGCAACTCGGCGCTAGCAGCAAGACTCTGGGCGGCACGTAGGACGCAGTCACGGCGCAAGCGCAGTCGTGCCTCCTGCTCGCCTGAATAGGAGGGCAAAAGGGCGGCTGCAGTGCTGGCAAGGGCAGCGCAGCTCGAATTCAGGTGAGAGAGCTGCTGTTGTATTCCAGCCTGTCGCCTTAGCAGACTCGCAATTCCACCACCACGACGTCCTACGGAAGCCACCTCGCCTGTCACCATCTCCACTGTGGGCTCCTCTGGTAGGTATTGATAGAACTCCTCGATCTGCATTTCGAGGTACTGTGGAGCATGCACAAGGCCAGTATTAGTTACATTTCAAATTCAGTAAGTACAATTTTATCTAATTGTGCATATATAGCCTAAAATAAGTTCATTCTTCTCCTCCAACGTGCTTGAGAACCAAAAATATCCCGAAAACGACTTAACGCATCTGAAAATGGGATAAAGTTCACGCTCCGTCAAGTATAAATCCCATTTTATCTCACTGCACCCAACTGTTGTTATTATTTTTTGTGGTAGATGCATATCCCCCTTGCTGGAGCAAAAGTGACTAAATTCATCAATATTCGGAATTCAGTTCAATTTACTTTTGTTACCCTATTGTCTTCTCAGAGAATTTAACTACAACTGACCCGCCATAATGCGAATAAGGCTATGAATATCAGCGTCTGTAGGACACACTATTAAGGAAGGAAAGAAATGGGAGGTCAGAACACCGTCACACAATGCAGGAAATGGGATGAGAATGTCTCCTTCCCAACTTTCGTTAGCGTTCTCGCAATCAACACATCGTAGAGGGTAGAGTAGATGTTTGTCCTCGTCCACAGTGGTTTATCACTATCGTGTCTACTTGATTTTCATGGCTGTGGAAAAGCTGAGTTCGCATTAAAAGGATACAGCCGTCAAAACCGTGCATAACGGTTAGTCTTCCACCTTTCCTGAGCAAACCATTTTTGTTTTTGCCGTAATCTAATTGACCTGATCACGCTAGCATTAAAGACATAATTTAAAGTACGTTTCCGAGACCAATGACAGTGAGGACCAAAAGGGGCGTACCATTGACCAAGTGTGATTGATGAGCTGAATGAATGTTAGTCAAGGTGTGTTGGAAAACAGACCACAAATATTCTGCCTACTAAAACACGCCCTCGCTTTACACCCACTGACTCATTCAAACGACTAGTGCAGAGGAACAAGAGTAGAGACGGAAGGGAACAGCGCGGCAAGTGGGAAAGCCGATTTCATTGCATGGGCGTTACCGTGCCCACTGCAACGGAAACACCACGCAAATGTTCACTTCGCGTGTGTGTGTGCATATGCAAGCAGTTGTGAAGTGGCAGCACGCTCACCACACCGGTTTGAAGGCGATATAGAAATTGAACTGCTTATCCATCCACGTCATCAAGAAAGCTAATCACATTTACGCCACCAAACGGACAAAGTCAACTTCAAGTAGATCGACAGGTGAGCTAAGCATTAACAACTTGTGTCCTAGGTTGCTTGCACTGCTTATCCAGTTATTCCGACGTGACTCTCACATCATGCAGTAGCAATCAAAGATTTTTATGATATGTAAATGGAAAATTGGGACTCTGAATAACAATATGGATTGTCAACTCGCCACAGCTGCTTGCATCTATATTATCTGAAAGGTTGATCGTATGAATTCCCTTCATTTTAGCCAACAGTTTGATTGACCCTCAGCCAAGGGGTCGATCGCATCAAGGAAGTAGATATTGTTCCATCGAAAATCCTGTAAATCCCAAGTATTTTTTGATAAATATAACTGTTCTAAGTACTAACTGCTGCTTCTAGCATGATCTTACCTGAGCATCTGAGAAAAATCGGTAGAGAGTGAGGGCGGATTTAAGCAACTGGCCTCTGGTGGTAATCATTTCAAGGAGATCAGCCCAGTCCTCGTTGAGGCCGTCCTTAGCAAGCGCAATCTCAGAACGGTTTTTGTGACCTTTGGAAATAATCTGGTCCATACGGAAAAGCATCGCCTTTACACGGCGTTCGCCTTCCTTCCTGGTGCATTTGGCAAACTGATCAAAATGATCCTTAAGAGTGAATGTGTGCTCCAAGTCAGCACCCACATCCGAGTTTTGGGCGATCTTTTGCCGCTCAGCTATCCAGTCCTGTGGATATATTAAGCAAAAATAATACTTTATCAGTAGTGGGAGAATAAATGCACTCCATGACACCACCCGGTTATTGTGAAGCTAGTCATGAACCCGGCTTTAGAGCCACACAAGAATTCCAAAGTGATCCATTAGCGTTGAGCAGCGTTGCTCCGTCCTGGAGCACAAAATATCGAAAACCAAATAATGTTTAACTCGAATATACTCATAAACCTAACACTTGCTGATTTAATAAGCTGCAGGATTCAAAATATAAACTATTATTGTGCGACAATGTTGCGCGAATTTACGGTTCTGAGTTCAAAGAAGAATGCTCTACCTCAAGATCGCTGACATCTTGCATAAGATCGTGCAGGCTGATGGACTCAACGAGGTCCGTTCGGCGGTCCCGAACGCTGCTTTCCAAACGCGCATAGTCCTCTTCAAGCCGCGAGATGGTGTTGGTGATAGCAGACTTGGCTCTTGCTGGAGCCCTCACATAGCTCCCATTTATTTGCACTCCAGAGGAAAGTCGAGCGCACAACTCAGTAGCTCGGCGGTCAGTTTTGGTCACTTCATTTGACCACTGTTTGACAGTTTCATGTAGCACCTTCAGTCGACGCAGGGATCGGTTGGCCTCCTCAATGCCCTGCAGCGGACGCAATCACAACATGAATACTTGTTCCATAGGCCGCACAAAACCCGTTATTCGGATGTCAAGGGCCCCTTTAATGTGCATTTTAGCCTACTGAGAGCCATCGACATTTGAGTAGTCGTGCGTACTATTCAACACCTTCGGGTTGCCCTTCTTAATGTGTAGAAAAATGGTGTGAATGAGAGAAATTGTGCGAACTCATTCTGCTGTGATTAAAATATGCGTCTCGATCGTGGTCGATGTCAAAACTCAAACTTCTACGACTGTGTAACATCCCTGCGAAACTATTTGTCAAGTGTCTAAAATAATTTATTTTGCCTCTATTAGGTGTGAAGAAGGAAGGAAGGAACAAGGTCCTCTTTTCTTCCATTTGAATGACATTTTTAATTGAGAATTGTCTCCTGAGAAGTAAGATTAATTATTACACTTGACGAATGCTTAAAGATGCTGATTTTGAACAGTAATGCACCAGTCTGATCATCGTAGCAAAATGGAATAAATAAAGGAAGTTACTGTGGGTTCACAGATGCTTTGAAGGTAGAGCTCTCGTTCAGATATCCACGCGTCCATGTTGACAATATCGAAGAAGAACTTATGGATGGATTCAGCCATTCGTAGTTCTTCTCGTCGAACTTCAAGCAGATGAGTGACCGTATACCAGGCCTGTTCCAACTCGCCCAAAACATCGCGGAAACTTCCAACTCTCTTGGCCGCATCCTCACTCTTGCCCAGGTATGTTTCCTTTACCCTCTGCAACAAATGCGTACTCTTCACACAATTTCAAGATGCTTCTCACGTTCAGTCATGCATTTTGCTCAATTGATGCAACATGGCATGGAGCACAACAGAAAGTGCTCAAATATCCTCAATAAAAATGAAGGTTACTTCCTTTGACGGTAACGCTATAAAAAGCTGTAGTCAAAAATGAAAGTGTCAAGGAGGGGTGCCTGTTTTTATCAGTAACACGCAGACGTAAAATGGGGCATGAATTTTGAGGCAACCAAGTCTGCTACCCTCATCCCTTCTAGCGCATTAAGCCGCGAAACCCATTTCGGATGCATGTACGGCTCCGATTTAGTCGGAGGGCCGTGGGACGATTTGCGATGTGCAAAAGCAGACAAGTGCTTTGAGAAAGCCTTACAAGACAGAGGGCTTTCACTCTAGGTCCACGATTTTCTACTTCGGCAACGTAGTTCATCAATCGTCGATTCTCCTGTTGCACACGAAGTAGATGTTTACCAACAGACCGCCTGTCTTGCGGCATCCAATCGTCGTAGGGCTGACGGATTTGCATTAACTTGTCCCTCACCCAGAGGAGTTCCGAGTTCAGATCAAGCAGGTGTCCAGCGACTGTAACATGCAGATTCAGGAGATCCTCACGCTGAGACAAAGCCGCTCTTGCTGCACGCAACTGCTTCTCCACTGCCACGTTCACAGCGGCCAGATCAGCAGCGCGGTCAGAATGTAACCGCGATAATGACTCAGTATGTTCCTAAATAACGGGCAAATTTGGTATAACTTGACCACCATCCTTTTCACTTAAGTCCACAATCGAAGCCCTTATTGGCATAAAGATAGACGTGATTTCTCACCAGGAATGGTAAAACACAATGTACCGTCGAAAAAGCCATAATCGAATGATATTCGCGTGAACTCAAAGTGAAGTTGGCAAGGTGTTAATGCTGTCGAAAAGGTGTCTAAGTCGTTGGTACGTCCCTATAATTATGCAACAACTTGCATTTAATTTTAAATCGTTTGCCTGCAACAGGACGAAAAGGAAGCATTTCGCTAATTTTGCAAAGGTAGGACTTATTATGAACGTAACTGCTATCGAATACCGTCTACGAGTAGGTCTAGGCAACCCTGGTAGTGCGATTTTCTACGCAAACTCTTCTACATGGCAATGAGTAGGCACAACATGCATTTACTGCATTGGAGTTGGCTTTTGCCTTGCCTCGACCGCCAGGATGTCAGTTAACTTGAAAGCCTAAATTAAGTTTACGGAGAGAAAATAACCTTGATTTCAGCTGCCATTTCAGAGTAATTCTCAAAGCTTTGGCAGTCTCTCCGGTGAGAGTCCAAGCGCTGTTGAAGGTCCGTTAGACCTGCAGTTGTTAAAGTGGCATCATCCATGTCTGTCTCAACTTTGGAAATCAACTTGTCAGCCCATCTCAACAAGTCCTGCACTGTCCTGTTTAACAGGTATTCTGCAAAGATGAATAAAGTAGTTGCAATCAGTTACCATTAAAACCGTCACCTGGCTTTGCTTAGAGGCACTATAGAGTTCTTAAAAAGCCCTAATAACCATGAGGCCGAAGAAGTTCTAATGCACCAACCCACCTCGGTGTGATTCTTCCAAACTCAACATTTGTTCGTGAAGCTCTTTCAAAAGCGCCTCCCAGTGCACGTACATGTTGTCGATGCGTGCAGACACTACGCCACTGACTCGGGAGCACGAATCAAGGAGCTGTTTCCCTGCCTAACAGTCAACAATAAGCATTCGCCACTTACAAAACCCTAACTATAAGTCAAAGCATTAAAGCTGAGCAAAGGTGACGCACCTCGATAATGCCCTCCGCACGCTCGCGACTGGCCTCTATTTCCTCTTGTAGCGCCTTCACTTGACTGTAGGCGTTTGAGACGTTGCGTTTCGAGGTTAGCGCCACTCGATTTAATGCTACCAACTTCTCTGACATCCAGTCCTCCATCTGCAAAGTGTAAGATGGCACACTGAGACCAACCCCTTCCCCATGCTCCATGCTTGTTTTTATTTCCTTATTTTGAAAAAGGAGAATCAACGTTGGACAAAAATCACTTGAATGGCATTAAAAGTGTCGGATCAGATGCACGTACAACTGTGCAAGAATGTTCCCTTCCATTGCTGTACGCAGGCGGCATACGGAATGCAACATTAGTGTCACAAATGAAGGATAATGTAAAGAGGTCAAGCAAGGTCTTACATCGGCAAAGTCGTTCAGCAACTCTTGCAAACGCAAATCTTCCTTCAAATACCGTTCACGTTCATAGGCCCTTTTCTTATTGTCTTCTAGTCTGAAGTCAAAATGACCACAATGATGTTTGAATTCTATGAACAGAATGATTCAATTTTTATGTAATTTTGCAAGAAATTGCACGCTCTACGGAAAAATATCATGAGTCGCTTTGTTTTAATGTGCTTGTAGTAGAGAAGAAGCTCACTTTTGGAGCAGACTGTTCGTTCTGGAGAAGAAGCGGCCCTCGACACCTCGATCGCCGGTGAGTGTTTCTCTGCATTTTCGTTCAAGTGCACTAATTCGACTGCAGCAGGTGAGCATTGAGGCGACAAAAGTATCATGCCTCTTCAATTCATTTTCCACTGCCTCAAGCGATTCCTAGTAACGGGGAGCGGGACAATGAAACCCCAAGACTTCATATTCAGAAGGTGCAAAGATGCGCTTGTGATTGCTAGAAAATCAGTATTTGCTTAAAAACTGACCCGAAGAAATGAGCAGAAATGATTGTTATTAGGGTGAATGAACTTTGTTAACGTAGACAAGTTATTTGTGGCAAAGTGCTGTTGGGAAGGGCACACGCATAATACCATTTTATAAGGCTTGTTCATACTTGCTACAAGTCCCAAAAGTACACTATTCTTTAGCAATTTTGGAGATGCGACGAGGCATGATCTGTACTACCGCATCTAATGTTCATAGAGGTGAGGATAGGCGTTTGCATTGGTATGAGTAAAGAAGAGGAAAGGAAGTGAGCACTTGCCATTTAATGTGTTAAATTAGTTGAATAAAAGAGCACAGTACCGGTTGGATGTCCTGGCTCAAGTAGGCGTCTTGCTGACACACTGCAGCCTCCAGACTTCCGAGTTCGGCAAGTAAATCCTGAAACGACACAAGCATTAAGCTCCTTACATTTGTGCAATTTGCGCTGCAACTAACTACCCTCCATCTCCCAGTGCGTAACTAGTGATGCTGACAAATGAGAATGGCAAACTGTGTAAAGGCGCCCATTTTCGCCATATCTGATGGCTTTCCAATAGTTGCTATTTCGCGCCCCAAATTACTTCATTATTTGAGTTGCCTTCAACTGTTCAGGAGAATCTGATTGTTTTAGGCTTCAATGCATTTTTGCTCCATGCATGTCGAAGTGGTTTCCTCAATGCATGGTAACAACAATCGGTTAACAGCGCTTTAATGTTTTGGTTTGTGCACGCTGAGGATCATCCGAGACTGATTCTGCTTAACAATCACTCCTACTTGCATCAAACCATTTCTACTCATATTAACTCTTACTGACTTGAGAATTTTAACCGGGATTTGTTTTCAAAAATGGTCCAACACACCTGAATCGCAATGCTTTGATTAAGGTTATTAATGTTTTTCCGAACCAGATCGCACGCTTCTGCGTATTCCTTAATAACCTGTTCCGGATTAACAGGATCTCTGTTGACAGAAGCATCATTGTCCATCAAATTGCAAACTTTTTCATATTCTGCCAAAAGTTGCTCTAAATGTCCCTCAGCAGTGAGTAGTTCTTGTAGATCCTGTTCTTGTGAGCACACTGAAGCTCTAACCTCCTAAAATTACAAAAATGTGTCACTGGACGAGGTACCTTCATGGAATTCGGTTGCAAAAGTGCAGCGAATTCAATAAAATTAAGTCGAATTCTGCAAATATTTAGTCGTACTGGCTCGACTGGGATTCAGATTGCGATTATGAGGGAGAAGGCAAGACGCACTCATAGCTTAGGATCGAAAGGCATTCGCATTCATAACGGTCGGTAATGTAACCCAACAATGCGACAAAATGAAGGCACCTTGTGCAGAGTCAACTTTTGCGGTCCTATAAATGCGTTCAACAGTCTTCACTATGCGAGTCTCACTTGAAGTTGCATACCTCAAAGCATGTGCAGATTGGCATCAGGGTAGTGCCAACCAAAGTGCCAAAAGTAGGTAATTAATCTAAAATCTCCTCGGAGGAGAGAACTATCGACTACACGTAGCATTCTAAAATCGTCCTCGTGGTAGTTGGCGGATCCTGCTGAGTCTCCACCAAGTGTGTTTCCCTCGAAAGCTTTACTCTCTACCACCTATAGTGAGGCATTTTCGGCACAGTGTTGAAAAGTCCCATTCGGAAGTTGTCCGCGACACACTCTATTTTGATGCAATTTTACAGATTAAAGATGTCCTCCTCAATAGTTAAAAGATTTTGGAATGAGTTGGAAGCCAGATCTGTGGCAAGAAGTAGTGAACCGCATTCCTTATTACTGCGAGACTAAGGAATGATTTACAAATTGTGCAGGTTATAGAAATGCTCCAGTGCATTGGTGCGTTGCTGATTGCTAAAAGGTCTTAAATTAAAGCATCAACTGAAGGCGATCCACAATAGGGCATGTGCTAGACTGGACACAATCACGGGAAAACAAGTTAAGAAAGTCACCGATTGAGGAGAAGTCACATTCCTGTCATTCAAGTGCGTGGAAGGAATGACAAATCTACTTCTATGGCGGTCAACTCAGAAGGCAAATGAAGCGCTCGTTACGATGGTTGAAGGATTTTGTGAGCAATACCCTTACATCTAGCACTTAGTCTTTTGTGGTGAAGTTGAGGTGCATCACGTTGGGCATTACGTTGTTTGACCAGTGTTAATTATGCAAAGAAGCAGACGGAAGTCAATGTCGCTTAATTAACCGTCAGCATGCAGAACTGAATTCCACCTGCAGTGCTGGATAGTGGAGGGACAAGCGCCACACACGGTACCCCGTAGGTAGGCTTTTGCAATAGAAGATTCGGATAAAATATGTTAGGGATTCAAAGGTCACATCTTGAATGGGCTTAATCGAACCTACGGAATAAACAGTCCTGAGCGTCACCTCCTTTACTCACAGATTTAATGCAGGGATATTGAGTTCTCCTATCCCAGACACACTCGTCCTCTCGTTAGAACTACAATGACCTGCCACAACGATTTTCATTTTAGGTATTTAAAAGGTGCGTTTTACTTGTTCACGGGTTTGGTTTACTTCAATTATCAGTGATGCTTACGAGTGGTTGGTAGAACTCCAGCGTCATAATTGGGTTCCCCATAATATCTCCCATTTAAGTTACTCAACATAAAAAAGGATTCACAGCTATCCATGTTCGCATTAAAACGTTTGCATGCAGATTTGATCACACCGTCTCGAGCAGTGAGCTGATTTATTAAGAACAAGGAAAAATCAGGACAAAAGAGTTTCTTTTACAGAAGCTGTTCATTTTATGAAGGTGTATGTAATTCGGCAAGCGAACTGACACTGTCGTAATCATTGAGTTCGAGGTACGCAGTACTTTGACACTGATCATCAATTCTGCTATCTCGTTGCCATTTGGCGCTATCTTGTGATTAATTGCACCTCTAAGGCTGTCTCCTATGAACCAATCCCTCTCCCTTGCAGTTTGAATGCGGTCAGAGCTTTGACTGTCCTAACGGTCTCCACAAAATGACGCTCTTTACATTGGCTCTTTAACTGAGAATGACTTCAAGTTCAAATTCCACAACCAAATTTCCTCATCTGGTCTCTAATAGTTCAACAAAGTTAAAACGGCCTTGTTAAGCCTACCATATAGTTAGCTTGTCCTTTTTTTACAGGCTGCACATGGAAAAATGCTACTTTTTTTTACAACATTCCGCTCTGAGCCGAAATTAAGGCGCATGTTAACCCACAAAAAACTTTGACAATCACTTGTAAGGAATAAGTGACTTGTTATGCTTCTCGGTCTCATCAGTTACTAGTCAAACCTCGAAACAACTGAATTGATTTTCACATTCAAGTTAGCAAATACCGGCACCAGTTTAAATAATCTTGGGGCTCAATAACAGGACTGCCGCAGCAAAACAAAGCAGAATTGTGATAATCTTTGGTGTAAATAGGAAATGCTATTTGGTGGGAAACACTTACTTCAAGATCTGAAGGGATTGAAAGGCAAGAATTCTTGTCTTTTAGGTAGGAAATCCACTGTAGAAACTCGCCAAGTGATTGTGTTGATTGTAGGTGCCCGCTGTGCAAAGTCAGCAAGCTTTCACACTGTTCAAGGCGACTGTTAAGCCCTGCTAACTTTCTGCAGAGCGCATCATGCTCCTTGCACAACCATGTGCCTCTCTCTTTTGAGAGAACTTCAGAGATCTGATAGGGATCGCATATCCGTTCGCCAATGTCATTAACCTTCGCTCTAATCACTTTCACATCTGCCTTTAATGCCTTCAAAACAATCTTTAATCGCGAGAAATGTGACGCGGAAGGAATGTAGGTCCAATTGTGCCGATTGATGACCTCCAACTTCTCTTCTACCCACTCATTAGTATAGAAGCAATCCTGCCAGACATTGAGAAATGCATGGTCCAAGTTCAACCGATAACGCCAGTCTTCTACCTGATCCGCAAGCTGATTCCATGCGTCATTCAACTGGTTTCTTGTCTCGGTCACTCGAGACAACACAGCTTTGCCATCCATTAGATTCTCAATTGCCACAGCGTCAACGATGCTGGAGGCAGTTTTGTTCAAATTTGTCACCTGGTTAGAAGAAAAGGTAAAATGAAGTTTAAAACCACACGAAAAGAAATAACCAGCTCACCTTCTCGGCTACATCACTCATTTGATTTTCGATTTCTTCAAATCGGCGTTCAACGAAGTTGAATTCCTCCCACAGGTCAGAAGACACACCTTTTTCATAAACACCATTAAGATCGGGTTGTTTTAGTCGGGAAAGAAGTGATAATTTGTCAGTTATCCAAGCCCGAGCTTGATTTGAATTATGGGTGAATAGCTGAACCGAGAGCGCGTCTATTAAGAAAGCTTGTTTCCTTTTGACTTTGTCCAGAAGAGTTAAATACGATTGAAGTAAACTTTTGGGTCTCTCTACCAGTGCGTTCTCAATTTCCTTCCTGACTTTGAGGAGGCTTTGCATAAGAGTCTCCGCATTAAAGAGTTCAGTAAAATCTTTTGGTAGATAATCAAATTCCTTGCAACTCTCCTTCAGTGTCATTGCTTTCTCATTGATATGCTCGATTACGTGGAGGTAGGTCTCTACCTCTTCTAACAACTTTTGATTCAACTGCACTGAAGACTCTACTGAACCGCATTCTAACTCCATTAGCCTTGTCTTTTCAGCAATCCAATTTTCAGTATCATCGAATTCTCCATTTAGGAAGAGAATGTCGCCAACAAATACTGCTTTGCTTTTAAGGGAAGTAAGAAGTTGGCTGAGTGATCGCCACAATGCTACGAGTTCATGGATCCGGTGGTCACACTTCAAGCCCCTGCAAAGCTCCTCAATTGCATTTAAACTGTTTTTTTCCTTGGCAATATCTTCTTCAACGTACCTGACTTGTCGATGAATTCGATTAGCCGCTTTATAAGAAAGCTGAAACTCCATTGCTTCAAGCAAATGCATAATCATTTTCACATAGTCGTTGTAGCGAGAAATCTCAGGGAGTAGGTGCCATCGCTGATTCACAAGTTCAATTTCACGTCTTTTATGCTCTGCTGATAGCATGATTTGCTCTGCTACATCAAACCACTCCTTCTCCAGCTCTTCGCTGCAATCACCCTGATGCTTTGTCAAAAGATTATCCACTTGAATGCACAATGTTTTAATTTCATTGTCAATGGCCTCCATTTGCATAAGCGCATGCTGGGATTGCTCAAAATTGGTGCCGGGATTGAGTCCTCCCATTTTATTCTTCAATTCTGCAGCAGCCTTCATCAAATCATCGAATTCCGTGTCGCGCTCCCTGCAAACGATTCTTTCTCGAATCAGTAAACGGCGACTTTCTATTGTTTTTAGCAGAATCTTCCACTGGTTCGTTACTTGTTGGCAGCGGGACTGCACTCTATCGTCTTGGTAATATCGACATCGTGTCAGCTCATTTGCTATTTCAACGAGCATTTTAATTCGATCTTCATAAGCAAACACATCAGCCTCAAAAGCTTCATGCTTTTTCTGGGCACTTTGAAGAGCATGCCGCGTTGACCCGACTAACTCCTGCTCCACAATTTGCTGGTTTTCTAATAACCAAGACTCTCGCATTGTGCACTTTGTCTCAAACTTAAGGAACAGTTGATCAAGCATTTCTTGCCGCCTCAGCTCATCATTCAAAGTCGCCCACCGATTATATTCGGAATGCTCTAATATTTCCCATGCTCTGTTCACTTCAGAGACTCGTAGATGCTTTGGGGGAAGATAGGCGCGCATACCGGTTGCAAGCATTTTATTTCTAATTACAAAAAAAGCCACTTCCAATTCACCCTTTTCGATAAAACGTGGTGGCTTCTCTTGGTTACGGAATTGGTTTAATTCACTGAGTTGGAGCTGAAGACCTTCAAGATTACCCTGAAGACTTGTATCGTTCATGCGCGAGTTGCTTTCGCGAATCCACCTCATCAGTTCATCAGCGGAAACTTCGTACTCCTTGACATCATTTATAAAACGTTTCAAAAGGTTGACAATTCGCTCAATGCGACGTGCATGCACTGTGTTCGCCTTTTCCCGAGCAAAGTAGTGGTAGTATGAAACTAAGTATGTTATTATAGATTTTTCCTCCGGTTCTCCAACCACAATATCTTCAGGATCTAGTAGTTTGGCGATACCGAGGCACCGTTCAGCTGTTGTAAAAGCAATATGCAAATTGCGCAACGGTTCGTCCGGTGAAAGAGAAGCGAAGTCAATTAAATCAGGTCGATGCTTATGTATGAGTGCATTAAAAGCAAGTCCGTCACGCCAACTCGTTGTGAAATTGGTCACTGAAACATTAGGATAAGCCTGAGTCTTAGCTTTACACCAAAGCAGAAGGGCTTCAGTGGAATTTCGACGGAGACCAATCGCATCCTCATGGCCAACGTGCCTGACCCTCTCAATGACAGAAATATTCTGAACTTGAAATCGCAGAATTATTGTCCATATTAATCCAAGTATGATTCGATTGTTGCCGTCAACAATGTCATGCGCCCCGATATTTTCGAGATGAACGTTTAGCCTATCCAAAAACGCGAGTGACTTCTCAACGTTCTCCAAACAGTGAATTCGCATTCTACCAGGTGTCGGCGTAGGCTAAAATACATTACTTATAAACAACAAACCAGCCTGTAGCCTGATACACGCTCAATAAGCTTGAGAAGGATTCGACCATCACAAAGATCCTTGAAAAGGTCCTCAATCAGTAGTTGATCATTGGCCAAAAAGGTGTTAGACCACTTTGTGAACGTTTTCTTTTGAATCCTCTCACGCTCCTCTACATGATTTTGTAGACGTTGGAAGGGAATTACCTGCTAAGGTCTTGATTCGCGTGCGTTCATACAATTTACCACCATTTGTGGGTGGGTTATAGACACTGAACGCATACTGAGTGTATAAAGGAAATTCATATTGTGAAGAAAAGGTTGAATTCTGAAGAGGTCGAGCCAACTGTGTATCCATTCGATATAACGACACATTAACAATGAGCCCAAATACCACCGCCTGATATTATGCGGCAAAAGTCAACCTTGAAAAATAAATATAACTTGAACACTTTAAAGATCTGAAAGAGGTAGTAAACTTATATAAATAAAAACATTGTAGGGTAAGCACAGTTTTAAAGGACATAAAATATTACGTTTTGCGTAGTATGAGTTTAACCTATACAACCGCAAACACCTAAAAAATATCTAAAAAGTGCAAACAGCAATAAATTGCTGATTTTATCCTTAAAACTTATCGTTTGTTGGCAATCAAACACAGCTCTTTCCGCATACTTTGCTGTTTTTATTTGAGCTATTGGTGTTGTTACCACGTCACCAAGTAAATTAACTTCTGCACCCCTGCCCTTTACAAGGCCATGTGTCCAGCGGGGAAGGTTTCCTATGACTCCATGGCTTCGAAGCGGAATTCATACCAAATCCACGTATACTAACATTCAATGCTCTTAAGGTCTCTTAGCATGATTTAAAATGTCAGGTATCCGTTCATAGTTATATGCCCAGATGTAATATCTTCGAAGGGAAAATTCGTTTTTTTGGTGGAAGTATTCGTTCGGAGATCTGCTGAAAAAAATTGTAGAGCGCATTCAGTCCGTATCAGATTCTCAGTCCAGAAACGCATTCTCTATGTGTAGAATTGGTGATTGACAGCAAATGATGAGGCTTTAGGGCTGAATAACCTCAAATCACACCAGACGTAAAGTTTAGGCGACGTAGTAAAGTTTGGAAAACACTACGTAATAGAAGGTACGGTGTTGAGTTTCATTTGTCGCGTGGCTTTGGTATATAACCATTAACCTCTACGTAATCACATGAGTCAAGCTGATATGTCAGAGTTGAAGAGCTGCGGGGTTAAAAACATGGATTAATAAACGTTAAGATTCTAAATGTAAAGGCAATGGGCCACTCGTAAAACTTTATTTGATGAAAGCAAAATTAACCAGAGTGGGGTTGATCACGTAGTTCATTCCAGAATAGCGAGCAAAAATTTTTTGTAATCTCCCGAAGTATCATCCGAGATGGTTTCAGCGAGTGACTTTTCGCTGATGTTGTCGAATGCGGTCTGAATTCGGCGAAGATCGTCCTTAAAAGGTAAGCGACTTGAGTTGAATTCCGTTGACTCAAGGCATTATGGCGGTAGGCTACCATCCCTGTTGAGAAAACGCTTACCTCAGAATGGGCTAGAAGTATGCGAATAAGGCTGTCATCGTTGGTTCCTGCGCCCGCCATGGCGTTGTAGAGCATGTCCGCGAATGTGTTGTAAGGGTCTTTCGACATCATCACTAAAGCAGAAATTTGGGCGACTGAATTCGAATCGACGTCATTCTGTTCTGGTGACGTGATACTATTAAGCATCTCATGGAGCCACCTTATGTGGTGGTACCAAGCCTTATTCACCAGATATAAATGCTTTTGCAGGCTCAAGTTCTATTCTTTAAGAGTGTTTCAATTTAAATGATTGTCATAGTAACACTACAGCCGTAACTATTGTTTTGCTTATACAGTGAATGTAGGAATAAAAGGATGAAATGCTACCGATGCGGGAGAGAGCCTTTTCATAATCTCCAGAGGTTTCGCTTTTGATTACATCGGCGAGATTGCGACCAAATTCCTGCGTATTTATAAAATGCAAAATTGTATCACTTTGTATGTCTAAACGCATGTTGAATTTTAGCAGGCGTACATCTTGGTAAACCTCATTTATCTCACGGATCTGATCGTAACTTCGTGTGCACAGGATTCGTGTAAATGTGGATTCGTCCGTTCCATGTTTCCTGAAACACAAAGGGTTCCACATCTGCATTAGCACCACTCGACATCCACACTTAGTGGTTGTTAGGTCTTTTAATATGGTTTGAAACTCTGTATTTCTCAGTCGATGCCTCTTTGTTTGAATCCTGTAGTCTACGTCTATTTAGCTAGCAATCACAGCACACTAATAACCATTTCACTTCAAAATTATGATCTCCTGCTTAATGGTATCCGAGGGTAGGGTAAGGTGGACGTGTATAAAGAAATTGACCACGTTTTAGTTGGTCGTAGTGTAGCGATCACAGTGGAAGCTTTCATTTTGTTTTTGTCATTAAAAACCTACAAGAATGTTTACAGAAGATCATCATGTTATTCAGAGAATACCTTAAAGGACTTGAGGACTTTTGGTGCAAATCACATTATGGCTCACTTTTCTCCGGCTTCGTAGATCTTAATAGCGTCCTCATGCGCCTGTGAATGGTCACAATCACTCTCCCGCTCGGCTTGCAAGATTGCCACCAGCACCCGCTCCAAGTCGCCAGAGGTTTCAGACTTCACATCGTCTTCTAATGACCTCTGTGTTACTAAAGCAGTAAATATGCATGTACGAATGCTTAGAACAATGCGAACAACCAACTCGCTTAGTTAGTAGCCCTCGCATATATAAACTTCTACTTGTCAAAGCAACCATTTTGCAGTTCATGTCTTCCTTAAAATGTATTCAGCATAATTTTCTCATCACACATTTTGTGCCCCATTAAGCGAAAGCGAAAACCGAATACGACTACATATTTTTGTAGAGGTGGCTGAGAATTTGTGGATGGGAACGTGCCAAAGTTATTTGTAATGTCTCAAAGGGAATCAAACTTACACTCCATGTAGGCCTCCTTTATTTCCTCTACCTCGTCGTTGGTGGCGGTGCAAAGAACATCGATAAGCATCCCCTCGTTAGTCCCGGCACCCTTCATGGCCTCCTTTAACGCAGCTGCATTCACGTGGGCTCGATCGTAGAAGGACCACTCTACCGCTTGACGGAACTTTCCACTAAGCTCTTTGTGCAAACGCTCCAACAGATCCTATTTTTAAGACAAACTTCCACTGACTTCATCTTCATAATTAAATAAGCCACCGACGTCCTCATTTTTGTTTGCGGAAAGCATTTCGGAATTATGGATGTGTAAACAAATCTTCGAATATAACCTATATAAATCACATCATATTATAGCCGCTAGTCTGCTGGCCTCTTTAGAATGCGAAACACATACGAAACTCTACATTGGATGACATCATGCTCGAGTGGAACCCACCTCTCCATACTGTGATTTATACGCCTGGGCGATGTCTTGACGTTGGCAACTGGTGCGGTGTGAGAGAATGTCGATGATGATCGTCTCATCAGTGCCTCGAACAACAGAAGCGTAATTAATGCTCAATCATGATTTATGTGGACTGTACGGATGCATACACTTAAGAATAATATCACAAATCTTAGAGGTACGCTACAAGGCTGCGAAAATGCTTATTGTATAAGGTGAATTAATGTGTGACATAGTTTTAGGAGGACTTTACTTACCTATTCCTTTTACTGCTTCTTTTAATGTTTGGGCGTCCCCGTTGGCATCGAAGCGTCGACAAGGCTTGACAGTCGCCATCACTTACGCGCAAGCTGGTAGAATCAAAAATAAAATGGCAAGAGGGTTTCCCCACAGACATAAATGCCTGTAAGCGCCACCCACCTATGCCCTTACGAGGTGGAGACTCATGCTGGGGCAAGGTTGCGCAACGCTGACCACCTCTTTGACGTGCAACAATGTCGTGATTGACACCCCAACAAAAGTAGTGCTGTGAAACTGCTATTAATGAAGTTACTATCTCTTTAGTTGTATCAAGAAAAACACCGACTTTGGAGGACTGGATATGCAAGCCATAGGCATTCATCTCCTCATACTAATTCGAACGCGCTTTATACATATGCAATAAATGAATACGGTGACGTGCTCGCCAAATTTGAAAAACAAAAACAGAAGTTACTAGGTAAGTAGGTGGAAAAAGGAGGAATTTTTGCGCTTAAATGTAAGAGCTTAAGTGCTATGTACCGAACGTCATGCAATGGTTACAACCTTTAAATGTGTGTTGCTAGGTGAATAAAATGGGCGCACCAGGAATTGGAGCAAGAGAGTACTGTCGGAGAGGGCTTGTTACGGAGCTGAAGTAACTTGAGTCGGTGTTTGCGCCACCCGAGAGTCACTGATGATTGGCCAACGGTCTGCCTGTTTGGCACTGCGTTCAAGTAGCCAAACCGAGCGTTCTGGTGTGTTTTGCACGCCACTGTGGGAAGGCGCCTTACAAATTAGGCCTCTCCAACACGCAATGCTTCAAATTATTTGTTCTATCTAATTGACCATTATCTACCATAGTGAAAATACTACCGTCGGCCTAAGATTTACGCGGGCTCAGTGGGGCCAGGCCCAGAGATTGTGCAATACTAATATGGCACTGGAAGGCACGATGACTAGAAAGGTTTTGCAACCAGTAGTGCTATAAAGTCTGTTGCCTGGACCATGTGATTACACTGCTTGTTATTTAACAGCAATTCTACTGAGGTCAGAAATGTCACTCATCCACATAAACATAATAAATCCTTTGGCAAATCCTAATCAGTATTGCAGCTTTACCAATAGACCATCAAATGAAGGCGACCACCATCGATAACACAATTTAATGTCGTATTATTTAAGGCATAAAAGCACGATGTTTTTAATTGTAGGCAAAATCGCCTGTATTTGGTATCACTATTTAATCAAGGGCTCCAGAAGTTTGCGGCGGCGTCTGTCAAATAAGCCTCAGTAACACTTGGCGAGGGACTGCCCTCTACGAAAACGCTGTGCACAAATGCGTTGGCTGTGATTTCGATGTCGGAGTACTTGCTGAATATGACTTTCAAGTGGATACTGCATCAAGCCTTTGTATGATTTGTCTTCTAGAATGGCCTTCAGGCAAATTAACACCCACACAGTCGAATGCACATGGGTTCGCCCTCACTCCATGAGGCTGCAGGCACTGCAACTTGCATCCTCCTCGCGCAAAAAGACGTGCCAGTTCACCCTCTCACCTTGACAGTGCAAAAAGGCTTTTGAGGTGTTCGACAGAGCTCTAGAGGTAACGGCAAGTCACTCACAGAACAAAAAAGAGCATTTTGAGTTGGCTTTCAAAAGTATTTAGCATAATTGATCAGATTAGAATGTGTCAGTGAATTTCACTACAGTTGGAGGTCAATTTTAGAAAATTACGGGAACAAAATTTGGAAATACGTTAGTGATAGTTAATCCACAATAGCAGTTTTGATCAGAATCAGTCAATATTCGTCTGGCTCCAAGATTTCAAGAAGGAACTTCCTATAGCTTCCGGAAGTATCACCTTTGATCATTTCTGACAGCGTTGTGTCATATTCTTTGTAAAAGAGATCTTTTAGTGTGGCCAAATTGTCCTGCAATAAAGGCGAAGCAAAATAACGAAAGGTAGCAGGTTGAACGATTTTCTGCCACTTTTAGGCTACCATAAGTAATGTTTGAAGCATAAGAAAGTCTCTAGACTTGTCAACTATTTCTTTTAGTTAATAAAAATGCTGTGAAAATTCGAAAACCACCGAATTACCTCAGAATGGGCCAATATAATTCGAATGAGATTGTCATCATTGGTGCCCATTCCCTTCATGCTTCTGTAGAGCATCTCAACAATGGTGTCATTAGGATCCGTTGCAGTTTGCACTACAAGAAAATGTCGAAGGTACAAGTAGAAAGTAGCACCATTAGACCGTATGAAGCATGAGGATCATTAATTGTAAAAATTATCACTGATCGTTTTCGTTTTGGATCTTTAAATGACTTTCTCAATGAAGCCGAACATCCATTGGGCTTGAAACTTACTTATACGCTTCAAGGCTATCTTATAGTCGGAGGAGGCTTCCTTCGAAATCACTGTAATAAGGTCGTGACCGTAGTGCTTTTCAGAAAAGAGAGAAAAAAATCTCAGATGGTGCACCTGAAAACAATCTTATGAGGCCAACAATAGACCTCATTGCTACGAGGTAAAGATACTGAGTCATAAAACTCGCTTTCAACAGGATCACTTGCTTAGGCGTGTTCGACCGCAGGAATTCCCACTCATGACAGAGTGAAACTGGCGGCCAAATGCGTTATGCAAAGAGTGAATTAATTACTATATGATTTTCCAGGTCAGCACATCGTACCAGTAAAGCACTGACATCGATACGTCTCTCTGTTACTACGCCATCCGTCATCAGTATTTTGCACCGGTGTAGGCATAGAAAGCAACCCACCTCACAGTAGATCTCGTCGATTTTCCTCAGCTGTTCCCAACTTCGAGTGCAGAAAATACGCGTGAACGTGCTTTCATCCATCCCATGTTGTCTCAAAAGATAAAAAATTATGAAAATATTCCCCATCTCTTTCACTACCATCTGTTTAGCCCAGTAGAAATTTTACGCCAAATGCAACATCTCAGCATGCCTATGGAATTAGTGAAATACATCGATTTCATCCGTAACTGGGAGTTTAAACAATCCTTTGCCTCGAACAAAATAGCATTTCTTCATCGATGGTATCAACGAGGAGTGGGTCCAAGACCATCAGCTTACCCCTCACCAGCTTGAAATAGTTCAAAAGAATCACTTTTCGCCTGATTATCGTCGCATCCCTCCTGTCGACTTGCTTGAAGCAAAGCGATGAGCACCTTTCGTATGTCACCGAATGTGTCAGCCTTCACATCAGCCTCCAAGTTCCTATTAGAAGCTTTAGGCAGTAATTGAAGAAAAAAATGAATTCTTTTCGCATCCTTAATCGAAATAACCTTAAAGTTATTATTGGAATCAACTTACTATTCTTCTTATTTAGAAGAAGAACTACAAAACCAAAAAAGAAAGCAGTGAAGGGCAGCAGTCAAAAGTGAGGCTTGAAGTAAATATAAATTCCTTACTTTAAAATGTTAATGAAACAAAAGCACGACCACTTCAGGGCCACTGCTATTGCAAGGACTGTTTAAATCAAGTCAAAAATGTAGAGCATGAGCAACTGGTGGTGACGGCTTTCGACCATTATTTAGCTATACAGTGCGGATAGGTTCTTGTAATTCAAGCAAACGGCGAAGGGATGCTGAGTGTTGTATTTGGCTTAAAAGATTTGATTAACATCTCGTTTGCCTAACGCAGATGTTTGAGGACGCATCAGTGACGCGTCGTTGGCAGCATGGCAATGCGCACAAGCAGTGAAGTGGAAGTGGGGAATACGTCAGGTTTTACGTCGCATCAACGGATGCCTGTGCGTGTACTTCAAAGCTGCACATCGCGCGACTTCACATGTCTATTTTAAGTCAAAAATAGTACCGTCTAGATAGGCATCCTTAATCTCCTCGATTTCCTTGTTAGTTGCCGTGCAAAGTACATCGATGAGCATCAGCTCATCAGTGCCTGTCCTGTCGATGGCCTTGAAGAGAGCCGTTGCGTTCACATGAGCCTTGTCTCCAAAAGACCAAAGGACAGCCTGCTTGAATTTACCGCTTAACTCATGACCAAGTTCGCTTCGTAGGTCCTAAAAGCCAAAAAATACCGCCAATAAGTTTTGCAATTTAACGACCTTGCTTTAATTCGATTTTGCCCCTCAAAACACGCTTATTCATGGAGTCTGCAAGTGTTTCAATATTACCACTGACAGCTCCATTGTTGATCAGTATCTGCTCAAGAAATCGTACACTTGCATCGTCATCCTAACAGGCACAGAAGGATGGGAGTAATTTTGTAGTTATCGTTCTCCCAAAGCCGCTGTTATGGAGGATTTACCTTACCAAAGTGAGCTTTATACACGGACTCAATTTCTCTTCTCTGGGATGAGGAACGATGAGCCAGAATGTCAATGATCAGTCCAGCATCCGATCCTGTAAGTTTAATCAACAGCAACAAGTCACAACTTTCACAAATGTGAACTAAGAGAACTGCATGTAGATAAATTATTTGAGCCAAAAGTGGTTGGAATTGGCGTGGGTGGAAGTGTGCACCTCGTACCATTCCTCAAGCCCCTCTCTGCCATTGATACACTCCTTCATGCTAACCATATCATCACACTGAGCCAGCACCGATTGAAAGTACTTTTAAATTGGGATGATGTAGGGAAAAACACTATGGTTAGTTTGAATTCACATGTCAAAATAAGGGTTGCATTCTATTAACGACGCCTATCAGTGGATGGCTAAACTTTAAAACTGATTCACTCGTAGTTATGCAAACTTACCAAATCCTTTCATTGCGCTCTCCAGAGTCCTAGCATCTTCCGAGGGGTCAAAGTGTTCTGCTGGTTTAACACACGCCATCTGAGAATTGAATGAGTAAATTTTAAATAAAAAGATTACGTATTTGTGTCTTCCCAAGCATGAGACGTGTGTTCGTGGCCTTATCACTTAATGTTACATAAAAGTGACATCAAAGTCATTGTAAAGCATGGCACGCAGTCCCTTCACTCGTCTACTTACATACCTCCACTTGAAGAGACTCTTTAAGGTGGCTCTCAGTGGTGATTTGCTTAAATACGCCGCAATAGGAGCGTGGGTGCTCGACATGTTGTCTTTTTAAATGCGACTGAAGGACTGATCAGTTACTTCAACAGATGCTGATCCCCTCTTATCCACATCTTTGTAGTTAACATTTAACTCCCTAATTAGGCTGTACCTATTTTGACGAAGGTTGCAAATTATTAAGCGTCAATTTTTAGCTACTTGAAGTTCGACTTTGGCTCTGGAACGCTTACCTTTGAACTCGTTTTTGTAAGTAGCTTGTAAGATTCCTGCCGATTTTTATCATGCATGTGCACTTTTTTTGTGGTCGAACACGCTTTTTGTTGCTCGTATGTCAAAACCTTGTGTTTTCGATGTCCCTTTTGTCATCATTTGGTGCGGCAATTGAGTGGTGCAAAATGAAAACAGAGCCTTTGAGTATGGGTGGTTAAGGGCAGAGATGACGTGGATGGCAACGAAGTTTTGTTGGTTAGTTGGTTGTTACTCCACTAAAAATTGTGTGTTGATTGCAAGCCCTGTCAAAGTGGTAACGCTTGGTACTCATGCGTTGAAAGTGAAAGGCTAACAATTGTCCTGAAATTCTTCACCCTTAAGACTTTGTTGGGTGTTGCGATACGGTTCATGCTACCATCTTTGAATCGGAGTTAAGTTTACACCCACGTGATTCAAAAATTAAGAGCCTTTCGCCATAGCTCAAATGCAATAACAATTGTGTACCAGGTAGTTAATAAATTCCACAATTTGTGCAAATCTACAAGTTTCTTTTTTACAACTGTCAACTACTGCTTTCTTAATAAGACATTATTTAATGAAGTTGACAAAAATGAAAGAAATGCAAGCAGTTACCAAAACAGACGTATTAAAAGGCAGGATATGTTGTAACTTCTTTGCTTTGGGGTCAAGTTGGTGTGTATGTAGAGTTCTTGCACACAAATACCACGAATCGAGTCACATTTAGTTAATATAAAGAAGTTTTGTATTGGTGGTGGCAGGCATGCCTTTTACGGTGTCCAAATACACCGAAAATGCGACCAGATGGAAGTAGATAAATTGAAACTTTGGTCTGCACAGAACTTACTTCGACGTGATACTTCTAAGTGGTGGTTTTAGCTGCTGATACAAAATCATGACGCTTCACACAAGCGGCCAGCGTTGAAAACGGTTGTGGGCCGCGATGGTCTCTAGGAGGCGGGTGGATTTCCTTCCCTAAGGCGGACTGCCATCTGATGGGATTATCTTTTGATAATATTGCAAATTTAAATGCATAATGTATGTGTCAATCTGGAAAACTTAGAGTCATCCTCGAACAATTAAGCGTGCAATTTTCACGATTAAATTCGATTCGACCATCTCATTCATGCTCTTGCATAGCATCGCCTACCTCCCGCGCACCTCCTAATCGCTATTCGAGTCTTGAAACAAGATTTTAATTACTTAAAAGTATCTCGCAATAAGGCTTAGGAATATAACCTTTTGAACTATCAATGATTGCCGCCCTTTTTTAAAATTGGGCTCAAGTGTGGCATGTTCTTGACACCTCTTTGACATGAATTTGGAGTCTAGTTACATGTTAGCACAATTTTTCTCATATCTATGCAATTTGTTCAGCCACCATCGTGGTCAGCTTTTATTTGCATTCAGTTCAAGGGTCGTTGAAGTGCTAGAAAGTGGTTAGGCGTAGTCGAATGGCAAAGCTAAGCATCATTTTAATGTCCTCCCATCAAAGTTATACCTGCCTTTGAGCAGATACAAGCGCTGCTAAATAGAAGATTGGTCAAAACGTCTTCCGATCCCCTTTGATTTTCCAACCTTACTGTACAGCTCATGAGGTTGAAACAGTTTCACCATAAGCTTTGATGCAATGGCAACTCTAATGAGGGATCAGTGTGTGCTCTGAATGCAGCATTGTCTCGAAAGTCGCTTGAATTTCATTTTAACTCACGAGACGCAATGCTAAATGGAGGTAAGACCTATGAGGCTGCCTTGGAGACAAAAGAATGCAATGCTTGGGGTGAATATGCATATTCAGTAGTCAGTAAAAGAAGTGGGCTGTTATCGTGGTCCAGACGCTAGCTCCCCCGGCAAAGACAATATGAGTGACCCCAACAGCAACCGGCAGTAAAGCAAGAGAGAATAACAGGTTATGTGATAAAATTGCCGTCTATACAATGCTCACAGTTGCATTTACCACCACCTTTGTGAACCGAGGTGATCGTGAAGTTAGTCTTACTTGCACACGCACCACTTAACGCGGGCATTGATTGTGCACTTGTTTGCAGCGCGATTGGTCAGTCGACAAGGGCTTTGAAAGGCAGCGCGTAGTAAATCCAGCACTATGCCAACCTATGCATTCCACTAACCAAGAAATGGTACAAAATAGCAGGCAGTAATCGTTAATATGCAAGATTAACACTGTGTTTGCAATTGCTCATGGTGTGATGAGATTTACAGTGCAAAATGTGAAGCTTTCTTCCTTTCTTTAAGTGCTCAGTTAGCCTCTGTTCAACATTGGCTTAGCATTCGCTCTCGAGTGGTGATATTTGATGTCAGTGAGCAATAGGATGTCTCCGGTTAGGGCAATCAAATTACAACAACCGAATGAGGAATTTTGGTAAAGGAATAGGGAACTGGCACGCCTAGTGAATGGTGGGACAATACGAGATACAAATCCAAGCGTGAAGAATTGTGTTTTGGTCGATTCGTTAAGTAGTTAATGTAATAACCGTCTCAAATAACGAACGAAGTTCATTTCAAATGCTATGAGATTCAAAGAAGTGGAGCATTTAAGTTGCTATGTTGAACTCCGCCTTACACTGCATTTTTGATTGGAGCCTTTTCTTGTGTTCCAAAATTGAACCGAGAATCGTACAGAGCTGACGAAGTGTAAAATGCAACATTACTCGGATATTTGAGTAATTGCGCCACAAATTGTGCCCCACTTCTTATGAGCCCACTTACGAGGGTATCGAATAGTTTGAAATACAAGAGGCTTTAATCAAGTTGCTCAAGCGTTTGTATGTCCCTCGACGTAAGATTCTGATGCATTTAATTATCACAAGTCTTTTAACAGCTCAAGATCGCAAAATGCATGGCGCATCCAAAACCTGCTAAAGGGTTTGTAATATCATGGTAAAATTATGATTCGCAAACTTTGGTTTTATGAGTTACTTGGTGCATCGACAATCTACAGCTACTAACAGTCTTCTTAGACTTGCAAACCAAAACATCTTCAGCTAATGAAAAATGACGGAGGATCAAATTTGCCATGATCAGTCCCGCATCTTGACGATGGCCTCGGTTGTTGGAGACATCCCCTTTGGAGTGATTGTTACCCAACCATTAACTTTACCAATTTAGGCACCTAACAAGCTTAAAATGCATACTGGTTTGCATAAATTTGTTCCTACCTCTTGTTCACGTAATTCTGTGATTCATTTTGGGTGACCAACACATTTTAAGACGCGTAGAATTAATTCATGGAATTCACTGTATCGTTGGAAATTCGGAAATGCCTAGGGACGTAGCGTTACTAACCAACCAATTGTTGTTTTCACCAAGCAAATTTTTATGTGACTGGCCTTAAAAGGTATTTTACTTCCTTTGCAGCTCCATCTTAAACACACACACACACTTCCTATTACGATCTTACAGCAAAGTCACCAGAGGCATCATTGTCTACAAAAATCCACACACTAATACAGTATGCAAATGGACTTTGTGAATTATTGGAGTCGTGAGGCGGTAATGCTGGTGTCAAATGCATACAGAACCCAAAGTGGTGAAAAACCAGAGTCTCTTGCTAAAGCAGTGTAACCAATCTGTGGCATCAACTTAGGTGGGCTCACCTATCTAGGCAGGCGAGGTGAAGATTGAGACAAAACTATGCCTTATCACCCGCCAGGGTTGGAATTTTGGCCCTTGCAATTGTACAGTCTGGTGGAAATTGAAACAGTTTTCCTTCTTGCCCTGCTTTGCGATCATGGCCAGTGCCAGGGCGCGTACCTCTTCTCAACTAATCGCGGGGACGGCAACCACTTTTGGACCAATAAAACATCAGCTATGAATTTATGATATTCGCCGGTATGTAGGTCCTAATGCTTCCCTACTTTTCAAGATGCTATCGTAAGCACCATTTGGCACTTTTGCAAAAACCTTCAGAACTTCATGATTTATAACTTTAATGTAGCAAATGTAGAATACTTCATGTGATACTTAATGGAATAAGTCAACAATGGCTTAGTGGGACAATATTGTTATTTACGTTAATGATTAACTGATGAGTCTTGACCACTCATCGCAAACCACAACTTTATGCGGCGAAACTTTGCTTTAAGGTAGCAAAAGCGTAAAATATCCAGTGAAGAAGGTGGTATCAGCTGAAAATCAGTCCTGATTAAGCAATGGATGCATGCATTTGCCATATTCTAGCTAACTAACTGCAATTCCTCAACTATGCAGTGCTCAGATGAAGACGGGAGCCACGGTTTTTGGGTCGCCCTGCATGAATGCAAACGAGGATGCCAATGAACTGGAAAAGGCTATGAAAGGTTTCGGTGTGTCTACATTAAACAGAAGTTTGGAAAACTTTTTAAGCTACTAAGGTCACTGGAATTTCACTTCTACTTCAGATTTAGGAGCTAGTGTTAGGAAGTGTTTATGAAAGGTGCATTCGACTCCTATTGTCTTGACTATTGTCAGAACCCTTATTCACCATTAACTGTTGGTTGATATTTAGCGAAAATCCCCACCACCTACGCGAAGTATACGCTTGGTGGTTCGCAATCGAAAGTCCATAAATGAAGCTTAACTGTGACCCAAGTTTTGGTGCAGTTGGAGGTCACTAAGCCTTGACGGAGTTGCATTTTTGTCGCTTGGTGTTTAGTGCGGTAAACACCTTGAATAAGTCTCGAAGGCACGTTCGAATTCTGCTTGCTTTAAGTAGTTGGCAAAAGCCTAATTTTCCTCTTCATGTTGCATACAAAACGATATTCTTTATAAAAATATATGTTAAAGGTTCAGTAATAGGGACTGGTAGCTAATAGTGCTCTTGGAATAAAAAAAGGCGAAGCTGAAGCTTCTTAAGCATCGCCTAATGTAAGGGCATAAAGTGGACCTCATCTTTGGTGCATTTTAGCACGAACAAATGGCGCAACTATGTGATGCATAGAAACTCTCATTGATGCAATAATTACCTTGGCATTATAGGTATGGATAGAAGTAAGATAATAAGTGTACTGACCAGTCGAACGGTTCAACAAAGGCAGGAAATCGCGAGGGCTTATAAGGCCGCTTATGGCAAGGTGAGTTTCTGCATGTGAACACCGACTTCAAAGGTACTTCTGTTGAAACTGTTGCACTTGGCTTTAAAGGATCTGCAAGGAAAGCTGCGAAGACAACTCAGCGGTGACATCCGCCTGGCCGTGCTCTACTCCTTTTACGACAAGGCTCATGTGAACGCAAAGGCCTGTTACAAGGCGATACGAGGTGCGGGCACCGATGAGCAGGTGTTGATTGACGTGATCTGCACATCGGATAACGCTGAAATTCACAGCCTCAAGAGAGCTTATCATGACAGTGAGTGTACACTAAGCACTGTCTTCCCCTTCCCCTCCTCCCAATTCACAAAATTGCTTGCAACTTTGAAAACACTTCATATACCATCATTTAGCAGGGTATTTAGAAGATGCAGCTTGTCATGAATTAATTTGCGTATTTATGAATAAGTACACACCAATCAGTTTTAATGTTTTGCTATTTCATGGATTGTGATAACGCCTTACTTGTACAAACGCGAAAGGATGAACAAAGTGCTGGTAAGTACTCAAAGTCACAAGGCAGACGAGAAAGTTGGAGTTGTGGCTTTTAGTTTATTTTACAAATTTGCATTTTAATGCTAAAGTAGGCGCGATGATTAGCGTTTGGGATTTGGCTGATGAATTGTCTTTTGCCCATTCTAGTTTTGCTGGAGGAGGGGCAAAACGGTGAGTCCTTGAGAGCTCCTTGTCCCTGTCATACGCACGCAATTCGCCATATTTTTGAATTGAGCATGAAATTAAACTACACATAGTTGGATTGGGAGTTAGTTGTTGTTAGATCGCTTACAAAAGCATGTGTTCCAACACTTAGCTGTAAAACGCAACCTCGAGACTGACGTGAAGGCTGATGTGAGGGGAGATTTGGAATTCGTGCTGGTGGCTTTGCTGCAGGGAAAGCGTGAGACCTCATTTAACCAGGCTCAGGTGAACGAGGACACCGAGGCCCTCTACAGTGGTGGTGAGAAGTAAGTGGCTGCTCCACTCTAACTGCCAAAGGCGATAAAACCAAATCACATTCAGTGTTTGTTAAGCATTTTTTGATTGATGTTGGACCTCAAACATCGAAGTCAAGATACAAGGTGGAAATAAGTGTGGGTTTACCTCGATTGCATTTTTCAAATACTTCAAATATGAAAAGATTATGCATTCTAAAATTAGGCATTCCATGACCAAAGTTAAATTAACTCAGGCCATTTAAGGTGAGTCCATTAGGATGCAACTCCTAAGTACGTGCCCCAACCGCGTCGGTGACCCAAACGCCTCCGAGGGTAACAAAGCAGTGCAATTGGAAGCTTCCGCGGTTTTATTTGCAAATTGCGAGTTAAGCGCACAAGCACGTAAAGGCTATCAATTTTATGCAACTTTAACTAAATACTTCACTTGTTTGCTGTTAATCGAAATCAGAACTGGAAAAATTCGTTTTTGCTATTTGCAGAAAAGTAGGAACAGACGAATCCTTGTTCACGCGGATCTTAGTTACGCGAAGTTTCAAGTCACTCCGTGCCATCAATGAAGCCTATAAAAAGGTTTGTGACATTTTCTCTTGCTCTTTCTACGACTTAGTGCTCTAACTGCCTATTGATGCATGAGAGAATATTCCACGACCACGTCCAGATAAATGCATTTCATCGGCGTTCAGCACGGCCGTGTTCGTGGCGTCACTAGAAATTAGACCTGAAGCAGTCCATTCTACTACTTTGCTAAGCTGCGTTTGCAGTTTTGTTGACATTTTAGCTGGCTGGTCATGATTTGCTGAAGGCGATCGAAAAGGAAACCTCAGGAGACTACATGCGAGCCCTCATCACGATAGGTACTTTGACAGTTTCCATTACCGGTCTTCCGGTGATGGTTTTCTGTAACACCTCATTTTTTAAATTAAAGTCAAAACGGCCATTAACAAGAACGAATGCATCGCTGACATTTTGTACAACTCCATGGCAGGAGCCGGCACCCATGACGATAACCTGATTCGAGTTATAATGGCCTACTCGGAGGCAAGTTTACAGTTTTACGCACAAGTCTAAATGTCTGTAAAATGTGTGCAAAAAAGTTTTTGCCTTTGGAAGGCATCGGACTTTTAACAACCTCTTTCTAGACTATTTTATTATCAACTGTGCACATTTAGCTGACTCACATGGAATAGTTAAGGAATGTCACTTAGAAAAGTTTAGTACTTCTGGAATATCCTCTCCACTGCGTACCAGTTTGCAGTGATGCGCTTTTTCACAATAGCTCTTTGCTTACCCTTAATGCAGACATCGCTGGCGGAAATTCAGCGAGTGTTCAACCAAAAGTACACAAGAAAAAATCTCTGCGACATGGTGAAGGACGACACATCAGGCAGTTACAAGAGATTCCTTCTCGCAATACTTGGAGAAAAATAAAATTAGTGATCCGTTCAGCGTTGCTATAACTTTCTCAAAGTGAGCCCGCAGTTACAATAAAGGTGGACCCCCACTATTTTATTTTTTGTTCCATTTGAATCATGCAACCATAATGACAATCAGTGCAATTTCATAGTAATTGTATGACTTTGAAATTATTATTTTAGATATGGGTTTGGTGTTGCGTAAGAATCCTTGAGGCACATTAAAAGTATCTACAAATGCATCACGGAACTTGAGATGCAAGACAATGTGTGTTTTCTGCCATCGCACAATTTGTGATTTGACAGCAAACGCTCTTCACAAGAATTGCCATGAGATTGCCTTTTCTTGGGACTCTAGGATTGGCGAAACTTTAGGTCTTGTGAAGAGTCGAATGTGCGCAGTAACGTGCAAAGATGACGTGACTAAAAAATTGACCTTTCAATATTTGTCATTTTAAGATTCTTTGGATAAAATTTAAAAGAAGTCCACTTTCACTAAAAGTGGTTTTGATATCCTAGTTTTGCGCCGAATGAGAATTATCCGGTCGCTTGTTTGCCAGCTGCTCTAATCGGAATGTGTGCGCAAGGCAAGAGTGCCAAAATCCAGTTTGACTTTGTCAACTTAGACATAATCCTGACCATCTCTTAAGGCTCACTTGATGGACTGTTGAGAATGCATGTTCCTGGCAATTGCTTCATCAAAGCGTCAATAGTTGAACCGTAAACTGAGGCGTTTATCAAGCCAAACCTTGAAATACAACTTATTTTACGGGTATTGGCAGCAAAGTTAGCGCATCTTTTTTATGCATATGGCCAAATCTTACCTTTGGGATTAAATTGCATACGCCTCTGACCGGATCGTTCTTTCATTGATGTCCACGTCTACATGCTCCGATACGTAAACCTGAATGTCTGTACATGTTTTACCAACGTTCATTTGACTTACGAACAACGTTGGGACCAGACCTAGCAGTCAAAACCTTTTTGAAGTTGCAGTTATGCTGCACCGGCATTGCGAACCCCAACTAGGAGGGGCAGAAATAGGGAAATCTTCATCATGCGTGCTAAAGAGGTGGAAGCAATATGCAGCTTATCGCTGCTCCTTCCTATTCGTGTAAATCGCTCACCTCGTCGTCCAAAAGCCTGTCTGACCGTACATTTGCCTTTGCACCGCTTTTTGAGCTGGGGATTCCCGTTCCAACGCCAAATACGGCAGTTATGTACACATTGCACAATCAAGTTCCTGTGTTTACTTCAATTTCAACTCAATGTTTGATACATCGCATTCGGTATGCTTGCATTCGGCAACACCAATTTTTGAAATTCATAGTGTTCATCCTGTTTTTATTGCGTCGATTCTAAATCCTTCCTACCTTGGCATACTTTGCTCATCGTCATCAAAGTATCTTTCGTTCTTGACATTAATCACTGTCATGCTGTTGTGATGGCGAATCCAGACACCTCTTATCTTTTGGCGTTGCTCTAAAATGCACACGTTGTTGTGTTTGACACTCATTCTATTCCCTCTTAGTCTTGGCTTCACAACGCCAGTCCCCCAACTAAATCGCTTGTGCCTCACTCACACTAGTAAAGGCAGTATTGTACTAGAAATTGTTGGAGAAGCGTTTTCTTCCCTCTTGCAAAAGTACGACAGAGGGATGTTGACCGATGGATGGTTTAGGAGTTAATTTTGGTTTTCGTAAATTTTTCAATAGACCTGAAGTTGTGGATCAGAAATTAAGCGAGGAGAAGCTGTCAAAGTAATTTCCCTGTTAACTTGATCAAAAATAACTGCCACGAATCGAGAATTTGGGAATAACTTTTCTAATGACGTATGAGCAATTGATTGTCCAAATCACAGGTGTTACACATCATGCAAAATAAGAGTGGGTGAGTTCAAAGATGGCGATTGGAGGGAGCATCTTGGATACATTCGTACGACAGCAGTTGAGTAGCCTTGATTGTCATTTCGTTTGCCTTCCTGATAATTCACTTCAACCATCAAAGCATGCGATACTAAACACGGTGCAAGAATGGGACCACATTTGTATAGCCTTTTCACGGTTGGAAATTTACACACGAATGACTTACGCACAATTACTTCGTCCCAACCTCAGTAAGCAGCGAAACGCTGTTGCATTTTGTGTTCAAATAAGTTGCTTCCACATGTATAAGTTTAAGCAGAGTGAATAGCTCACATTTTCACCCTCATCACAGAAGCCTTGAGCAATATCAGACTAGGCACAAGCAGCTCCTGACCTCCGACTGGCAGTAGCTTGAATGAAGCAATTTCATTGCAAGAGGAAGTCTACCCAGAACAACATTCGCTCGTTGGCCTTTAGGGCGACCTGCTAGTCCCTAGCCTTGCAGACTGTGCCGAGTTCTTAGAGCGGAAATTAGCAAGGAACGAAGGGTACCGACCAACTAGAATAGAATTTTTAGAGTGTTTTTATGTTCTTGAGTTAGGAAGTTGGGTAGTAGGGCCGAGAGCCCAGCTAGTTGTGGTAGGGTCATGATAATGATTATTTCACATACCTACAAGCCGAATAAACCAAATGGTTTTCTTTAAATTGAACTATCGTGGGCAGTGAATCAAGTGGTAAAAAGCATTTGGCCCCTACAAATTACAAGTTTCTAATGGCAGTGTAAGTAAGTTGAAGACCACATTGTCACATTGTATAACTGTGTGTGCCATTTCTCCTTTCCTACTTTACCCAAGCTGCAAACAACACACACAGTGCCTAATTGTTGCCTAGGCCTTCCACTTAATTCATTTAAATGTAAGGTCATTAATTTAGCTGACCTACAACTGCCACCCTCAACTGCTGTTTTGAATTGCAGCGATTCCATGTGGCCATCTCAACTAGTTACCTTGCGTGCAACCCTTCGTCTCCACTTGGTTTTATCACAAGCCTAGACAGCATTTCTAGATCGTGTTTACACACGCGAATGAGTTGATAAAGTCACATAAACTTCCATTACTGATCACAAAGTTATCTTTTGACTTTAGCTAAAATCAAAATTAATCCAAACGTCTCAAACCAAGGTCTTACAAACAAAAGCGGCAAAACTTGGCTCTAACATAGTCAAGCAATTAGCACCCACCTTTTAAAAGCGAATTTCTATTTCCTTGGTTAGTCAGAAATAATCGAAGCACAAATTACGGAGCAGGAACGTGCGCCGTATCCTTGGCATGCCCTTTGCGTAGCAGATCCTGACCATAGTGCCCTAAACAACGCAATGCAAGTTGACAAAAAACGATGAGTTTAGTTTACACGTCAAATACATTCTAGCAATTCTTCCTTACTTGAAGGTCATGGGTGGGTTCAGAACTTAGTCTGCATTAACAGACGGGAGACAAATTTTGTTTAATTACGGTCGAGCAACTTGGAGGTTACTTGCGATGGGACGCTTCATCTTGTTTTTGCTGACATTGTACAAAAGTTGCAACAGTGGAAATAGTACAGTATTTTATGTTATCCACGTCAACGATCACCAAACGCCTCTCATTCCAACTTTTTTGTGCTAATGGCTTGGCATGCACCTTAAGTCAATGTCTTTTGCTCATTTTTTAGGTCTATTGAAACCGCAGTTAATAAGTCTTCTTGTATCCGTTTATACTGCATCCCTGCATAAATATTGATACAATAATTTTAACCTTACTACCGACATGTAATTGAAGTCAATCATTATCGCAGCCATTTTATTCCGACTTTACTGACACTGGACCTGTGGTCCAAATTGAGTTAATAACAGGTAATAATGCAAGAGGAGCTGCTTCGCATTGATTTTATGCGAGGGTTTAGAAGTTGCACATCGCGAGAAGAACGCGGCTGCCTCTGCAACATCTCGACAGCAGACGTGTGTACGAGTGCGTGCACGAGTGTGTGTGTGTGTGTGTGTGTGCACGCGCATGCCAAACCGACGCACCTGATGGAGAGCCTCTCGATTCCAACGCCACCCACCACTCTTGGCTCTGATTGAGTATTGTGAGTCCTCTAGGCTGCAAATAAAAACTGTTCATCCTTCTTGAGGTGGCACCAGCATCCCGCCATCGTTGTTTGTGGTCTTGTGCCTCGGGCATAACTTTTTGTGTTCAGAATGGCCACTGTGCATCCAGCTGCCAATTTCAATGCTCACGCAGATGCCGAGACTTTGTACAATGCTATGAAAGGATTAGGTAGGAAGGTTTGGCTTGAATGCTTTCATGACTGCACATCCAATCACTTTACACACAATCCTTTTTTTCTATGGGGTTATTGTATTTTTAACTATGATAAATCTGGATTTGCAACTATGAAGGGGGTTAATGAAGCAAAAGCTTTGCTAAGGTTTCATTATGAAGACTACTGCAGTAGTTTAACCGATCGGTTACTATAATGAAACGATGATAAATACATGTGCACATCTACATTCAGTTTCTGAACAACCTTAGAAGTAATTAACCGCCACTTCAATAGGCGGTCACTTTCAATTTCACTTTGCAAAGTGAACCATAACACAAACTCTGAGATCTCCAACTGGTGTCTTGCACTTTTCATAAGCTCATTTGTCAGAGCTGCTTTTGCGAATCCAGTGGCATACCTCTTGTAACCCTTTCGTTTGCCATCTAGCCGATTTGGTATTTTGCTATCTTTGTATCAGGAACTGATGAAGATGTCATCATCGAGGTCTTGTCGCATCGCTCATTGGAACAAAGGCAAGCCATCGAAACGACATTCAAATCTATCTATGGAATGGTACGTCTTAAATTACTGTGGTCTTTCACTTTTCAGTAAAGTTATAAGCGGCTTTTGGAAGTTTTTATAAAATGATAAAAATGCTGCGCTTTGGGGCTAATAGTGAGAATTTTTATGGAATGAGCTTTATTGCAACTTTAGGATCTCAAAGAAACCCTTCACAAGGAACTGAGTGGCTATTTCCGTTTGGCCGTTCACTATTCGTTCTACGACATGGCGCATGTCAACGCCCTTGCGCTCTATCGGGCCATGAAGGGACTGGGCACCGATGAGACCGTCTTGATTGATGTCATATGCTCGTGCACAAATAAGGAAATTCATGAGCTGAGGGAAGCCTACAACGACAGTAAGTTATGTGATGTTATTCGCTTTGCATCAAAGAAACTTTTCTTTCCTCGAAATCAGGCGAATTTTATGCATTTCGTGCTTTAACTGACAGTAGATAGGAACGGTAGCTTACCCTTGATCACAACTTTGAGACCTTCTACATTTTACTCTTTCATACTTGTGGAAGTTCTGCCCATCCGCTAGTCGTTTCAGCCATTGCCTAACTGCTACAATTCGACATTTTCAGTTCTCAAAGAAAAACGCCAAAATCGTAAGTATTGGTCTCACTTTTATGCTTAAAATAATTTGCCAAAAAACATAATTCCTTTAATTTCTATCGGCTAATGTAATTCAAGGCATATCTTAATAACCTCTCTCGGAAATGTTGCCTCCACTTAAGAGTCCTGTTAACTCCAATTTTTAAGTCTTGGACTCAAAGCAATCTAGTATGAATAGCTTTTAAAACTTAAAAATGTATAATATTGAGCTTCTTATAGTGTCGCGAGGGATTCGATTACCAAATCAACACGCTCTTAAGGCAGTCGTGTGCATTATTGTTTTCCAGAGCTTAGTTTGGCATCACACGTTTTGACAAGAAGCCTAGCTCTGCTGTTTCCTTTCCTCCAGTTGCCAGAAGATCGCTGGAACAGGATGTTATTCATGATGCCAGCGGTGATTTTGAGCGTGTGCTGGTTGCAATGCTGCAGGGAAAACGTAGGGAAAAGTTCGACAAGGATGATGTCGTAAAGGACTGCGAATCTCTCTACCAAGCTGGAGAGGCGTAGGTCACACATGGGTTGCATTAATACTCAAGTAGAAGACTTGGTGCCCTCTGCCAACGCATAAGTAGTTTATAAATGCTATGTACTGCCAAAACGAAAGGAAATGCTTTTTTACGCTTTCTTTTTTGAGCAGCGCTACCGAAACTTCTTGATTATTCAGGCTTTTTAGTAATTTTTTTTCACTTTTCTTAGTAAATTTGGGACTGATGAGGCAACCTTCACAAAGGTTTTTGTGAACTGTCCATGGGAAGAAATCGTGGGTATTGCAGCGTTCTACCTTGAAGTACGTCCACTTCCATTGAATCTTCTTTTGTTCTCACTTCTTGTAAAACATCCGCTATTTTATTAGGCTGTTGGAAACGACCTCTTCACCACAATTGAGAAAGAAACCTCCGGAGACTACCGAGAAGCTCTCCTTGCCTTACGTGAGTATGCATATTATGTCTGTCAGGTCATTCTTGAAACCAGCGCTGGAGGAACACATGCTTGTGATCAACTTTCAATTTTAGTGAAGACTGCGTTGAACAGGAAACGGTTCTACGCAGAGGTGCTTTACCAATCCATGAAGGGAATCGGCACGCATGATGAGAATCTCGTGCGCATGATCATGGCACACTGCAATGTGAGTTTATCAAGTCCATCACTCAGTCAGGCATATTACTTCAAATCATGCCTCCTTTTGCGTACTCAAGCTTAGCAGCTTGGTCACTTACTGGCATTCATAGTGTCAACATTTGGGAGATCGGGGACCATTTATTTTTTCCGAGATTTTCACTGCTCCTTCTTTTTGATCAACTTTATTTTATTTAACTTTATTTCCCTTAACTTTATTTCATTTTATTCATCTTTAGACCGATTTGGCCGACATTAAGCAGGAGTTTTTCGAAATGTATGATATAAGTCTGGAGGATATGGTCAGAGGAGACACCTCTGGCGACCAAAGAAAGTTCCTTTTAGCAATGTTGGGCGTTCATGAGGGTAAAAATAATTAGCGCAATTCGCTCACGTAGGTTCTAAAACAAAAACACCTAATCCACACAATTCTATGAAATATATTTCTTTGAATCAGAGGCTTACGTGGTTGTTTCTGAAAATGGAGAAAATGGCTATTCCGTATTGTTTGAGAGTAGGGCGTAAACGTTCCGAGAGTTCCGAAGTGCACGCATTGGGTAGCATTGAAAAGTAACGTAGCTGTCCGGTAATGAGTAAACGAAAGACGAATTTAAGAAGGTGAAATAAATAAAGGGTGGGAAGTGTCGTCATCTATACTTGATTTCAAAGTAGACTTACTCTAAAGGCGTCCTTCGCCTCCTTTTATGAATAATCGGTAATAGGCTTCAGGACGTATTCACGTCTTGAAAAGGATTCATTTATCTGAATACACTCGTACATGAATTTGCTACAAGCAAATGCCCAAAAGTCAAAATGTCTTTGCATCAATTTACAGTATCACCCGTTCAAATGCTTAAGCTTACGCCCACAACTAGCGCCAATCTTGAGTTCTTTGAACGCCATGCTTGAATTGCGCTGCTAGCAATATTTGTTGCGATTTTGAAGCAAAACGTAATTACCATTACAAATGAAGGAACAGAGTTTAGTTGAATACCGATATCGAAATTATAAGAACTCTAAACCCTTTTCACTCAATTTGTAGTAGATGCTGGCGGAGCTATCGGGGCAGCGCGCTCAAGGCCACCAGCAAAAAATCATATTGTTACAGGAGGGAAGCGATTGTTAATGTAGTGTAGCCGCCAAGTGTTCTCCTGGCATTTAACAGTTACATTTTCGTCAAGTGAACAGGAAAGTAGGAAGGTATGTCTGCCACAATCCAAAGGAGTCGACCACATGCTCCTCAAGCATGGTATCTAAATTGTCCTTCTATCTCCCTCCCACGAGGTGAATTTTAAACAGCTCAATATGTATAAAAACGCACAGACTACATGGTGTGGGGTCTTGCTCCAAGGATGGTAGAATTTTCCATAAGTTTTATGTGGGCGATTCGATCTGTATACTTAACCAAATTACCTCCGTTATATGCATCGGCACAGCCATAAACATCGTAAGATCTCTTCTACTAGGCCAATTCCTTCTCCGCTCGTTTCCATACCGCCTTAAGTGATTTGTAGAGGCCTTCTTCTAGTCTCCTAACGCACACTGTGGCTCCATCTGCCAACTTTTCTATGATGGGGAGGAAGCTGTTAGGGGACATCCACCTTTAGCGACCACAGAACATCTAGAAAATCGAGGTTTTATTCAGGGCATGGGAGAAAACTTGGTAGTCAAGGCAAGCACCTTAAGTAAGGAACTTCAAGAGTTTTATTCAAATTATCCGTTTTTTGGTGAAAACATGAATCACTTAAATGAATGGTAACCGTAATAACTAGTTTGCGTGACAATCTGTACAACTAATAGTCTCTTAGTGTTAGTCCCACTCTTCACATATGGATTGAACTTTGGGCCAACTCCATTGCCTACTATTTGATAAGAAGCTTCGGAACGTTGCAATGGTGACAGACAAAGGTGAGATTGACTGTCTCACCAGTTGTGACATCCTTCTGCGGTGGAAAGAAAGCACTACAATCCAAATGGGAGATTTGGTGAATTCTTTACAGCAAAAGGGCTGCGGCTGACGTCTGCGACTGGCTCAACTCATCAAAATGTCAAACAAGCAAACTCATACCGAATGAAGCGACATTTTCGTGCATTTCCCAAATTGATTTCGCATTGGAATTCCACCTTCCAAAAGATTTGTGTTTGCAACTCCGTTTTCTCTATTATGACCCTATTTTAGACCAGTGCTTTATGTTAGGCCTCGGAAACAACTGATGGAGCCTTTCGAGACCTCCCACCGGTAGAAGAAGACATCAAGAGGATCTGGATACATACTTTTCAGGGAGGACAAAGGGATTAAACCTGAGCATGGCCCAAAGGCCAGCCCACAGATACAAAGGGCTAGATGAATCTTAAAGTAGCCGCCAGACATCAGGTGGTCGCAAACAAAGACCAACAGAAGTTCTCTCCCTCTGGTCCAACATTAAGGAGCTTGTAAGTGCAAGAGCTAAGAGAGCCAATTACATTCCCTCAGAGCGACTGGCTCGTTAGTGTTTCCTCGCAGTACCAAATACGTTGCGGATGCTGATGCCGGAGGTGTCAATGAAAGAACTGAGAATGTGTGTGTATGCACTGTAATGCTCTGTTTATGCGACTATCTGACGTTTGGCGGTCACATTAGGACTTGTCTGGGCCCTGTACACGTGGGCTGGCCTTCGGGCCACGCTCAGGCCCATTTCTCCTATCGCTTTCAGAATACATGTATTCAACCCCACTTATGCCTTCTACTATCCCATTTAGAGCCTCGGGACGTTACATGCACGTGCATAACTTACAGTCACTTTGGCCTTAGCTTGCTATTAAAATAGGACTGCGAACCAGGCCATAGGTTACACTCTTCCCCTTCCCATTGAACACAGATAGTATCACTGCCTAATGTTTTTAACTATCTACTAAAAATTCCATTAAACTGAGTGTAATTTTTAAAAGTGAAGTGGAAAAGGAACTACCCATAAGGCATACTACAACCCTTTTCATAGAAAGAGCAATACTATTTTACGTAACGAGGCTGATGATAAGCCACTTTCTTTTCACAAAATTTTACGTAAGTAAGTAATCTAATAAGTTCTACCAACTCTTCGGACAAATTTCAAATTTTTCAGGGTTCTATTTTCTGGAAGGTAGATATTTTTAATAAGCTCTTCAGCATTGAGCCTTGTCTATTCCGTAACTTTTGTGTGACGATAAGTGAGGTTTTGGCTTGCAATGAACCTTGAGTCGGAGTTTCTCCGAACCTTTTTTCCATTATGTTATGAATCTTTTGATGTCTTTTTTAGGTGCTTGTCGAAGTTCCAAAAGGCAAGGGCTATTTAATAATTACGCGGTTTGTAGGGAACGGGGGTTGTTTATACAGTAAAGAAACTCAAAAGCTTGCCAGAAAGCTCGGAGCTAGCCGGCAACCTTGCATATGAATATATTCGTCTCGTCTGTTCCCATCATAAATCAAGTCTCAACACGTCCACTTCTAGGATTTCGAGGTATAGCTTAATTCGATGTAGTGTTAGGTTACGTCAGTGGTCCGGAACACGACTGCACATCTTATATGGAATTATGCCTGGCTGATAACCGACTCAAAATAACTTCATACGATATGATGCACCAACTACATTCGAGTCTCAGGCCCAGTACGGCAAATAACTGGGAGCTTTCACGGGAAAGAGACGAAACCGATAGTTGTAGCGGTTCGCTTTGAGTTCTCTTATTAACCCACTGTAGATGGAACGTCTGGATACAATCTAACATCAGCGTTTTTAAACTTCTTCGATTCGACGGTGTTTGCGACCTTAGCTGAGTTGTCCGATAAACTGCATCAATTTGAGAGTGTATGTCGCCATCCCTATAATTGTTGTAGTCCACAGGCGCACTCTACGTGAAACTTAACTCAAAGAGATTTCCCGAAGGACACCCTATGAGAGATTCAATGGTTTATAGTAACATAAAGTATGTTTGCTACCACTATGGTACCCGCGTCAGTTCTGCAACCAAGCGGAAAAATCAGCGGTAACTTGTTGCTGTCTGGATTAATATACACCCCTTAGGACCTCAAAACTCGGATGCAGTTCACAGATCTGTATAAGTTATTCGAGTGGCTATCTGCGGATCGTTAGCTTCGACATGCGTCACAACCATCCAGTTACCTCAGAATCTGCCCAGCTCTACCCCAGAAATCGCCGTCTAGATAAACATGAACAGGAAGCGGTTGACGAACTCTTACGGCTTCCCTACGATAGTAGCATTGTTTTGGATATAATCAAAAGTAAGATCGGGTTTCTGCTTTAAGACTGTAGAGCAATTCGGAAAGGTATGCACGAAAACGGATCTTAAGAATATGCGGAGTCGATTAAAGAAAACGAGTAATACTAATCAGGTGCCCTTCATTGGTGAAGAAAAACACCGTATTAATCGTGAAGAACAGCTAAATCCAATATTCCGAGAGATCAGAGATATTGCAGACGTCTGCAACGATGAATTATTCACGCAGAATATGTCAGCGCTTAAATGCGTCATTGCCGCCTGGAGGCAGGGTAAGGTCGCGATCATCTCCGAGGCGGGAGATGGCCCCGGCCCAAACTCCTCATACCAGAATGTCTTTCCTGATGATGCGAACGAAATACTTATCGAGTACAACTCACCAAGCCCTTATCTGATGTCAAACGATGCGCAATAACTCAGACCCATAACCGATTAATTTTGTACAGGTTTGATGTATTTTGTGTAAATATAGTTTGACTGTAAGTCTTGCTCGTCTATCATTGCTAGTAGTTTCGCTTCTATCTTACAAACGTGTAATCATCTCCCTTCGAAGAGATTCTCGCGTTCAAGCACGATTTAACCGGTCTCGTATGTTCTAGTTCTTCGAGCTTATTGCTTCACCTTAGTTCATATGCATTTTCCCACCGATACGGAGTGATACTTCAAACACCAGCACGTATTATCTGAGAGAATTCACAAGAAAATCGTAAATATAACATTAATATTCATTGCGATATGCACATTAACAAGGTGTGAGCAACTAGTCGAAGATACGCTTCACTCCTAGATATGTTAGACCTAAAATAGTTTGAATTAAGATCAGCATGCAGAAACACCGAGTGACAAGTCGCGGAATAATTGCCTACGTGAAAGTACAGCAGTTTGTAGTCTATGTAAATGAGCACCAGTTTGCACGAATAGTTAAACTAACCTGAGGCAAGTGCGAAGCATGGGACCAAATAGGATAAACGAGTTATACCGCGGTATTGGAATTGTTGCCGCAGGCTCCAGTAGGTTGTGTAGCTAGCCATGGCAAGACACGCCAATGAACCGAATACTCTGCAGCTTAAACAATCCTGACTCTCCAACATGTCCTTACGGTTCCCTATTTCTTCGGATTTTTCACTCATTCTAAAATACATTGCTACTTCATTTACAAAAGTAAGTATTGACTCATCGAACCAATCAATGCAAATAAAACTGTCAACTAATGACAAATAGGTGCTTCAAAATTGCATTCATACAATGAACGAAAAATCTAATCGATCTAAAATATTAACTTTGGTGAAAAATTATACCATTGACCCCTTTTAGTTTGTGGGGTGAATGTGATCGTTGAAGTAAACGGGTATTGTTCATGAAAGTGGAAGCCAATTTAGACAGTAAAAAAGGAATGGGTTGACAAATTAACTAGTCTCACAACCACACATTCCTGAAATGCGCACCAGTAGGATGCATATAATGGGACTGTGTGTTGCTATCGCGACGACAGGTTTTGCGAAAGCCCTCATCAGTAAGTTCGTTCTGATAACAAAACCATACCAAATCGACAAGCAAATTTTCCAAAAGCAACCACTTTCAGGTGTCGAGTACTTAGAATCTAGCTTCCTATGGCACTCCAAATACTTGTCAAGAGATTCGGGGGGAAAACACCAGTACCTACAAAGACTCCTACAATTCGTCTGCGTTTGCGCTGTTGAGAATATCAGCGCAAAGTCACTTGAGATAGGGCATTTGCGTCAGGGAAAACTATGGAAAACACTATGAGCCATACATCGACCCGAAAGCTTCAACAGGCAGCTTCCCGACTTGAGCAACTAATTTTGGCATCACTCAAAACGTGATTATATAAGACAGCCACAACCTAATTATCTCAATCACAGTGTCGCCGAACTTTAAATAACGCATCATAATAGCAAATGGTGCTTTTATTCCAAGTTTAAGATTCAGAGAACCTCCGTAAAGAAACAACTCGGCTAGCAAGTAAAGCTTGTTTGAAATGCAGCAAAACAACTTGACACATTTCAGGTTTTTCAGACATTTCCTTGCGAAAAAAAATGTGCTACTTTTTGGTCTGGACTCAGACATGGGGCTCTCCAGAAAGTAAAAATAAAATATACTCGACTCAATGTCGATTTTTACTGTGATCCCACCACGTCTCTGAATATAACAATTCGATCACAGAGATAAGTATTAAAACATTAACAATAAATAGGTCGAACCAACAAGCAACCAACTTCAATAGAAAGTTGAGCCACAGCTACCAACAGTGGTGTGCCGATCGAAACGAGGTGATCATTTCCGCAGTCATTGATTCAGACCGTGGAGACGGAATGTCAATTACCTCAGCCCTTCGCCCACACGGCAGAACCAGTCAACCATAACTCTGCATCAGATTAAAGAAGGACGGAATTAACCAACAGACAAGTAGAAACAAATTTCGCATGCCAATAGTTGACCTAGAACTGTTTCTGAGCCATTCCAATAAATTGCATCAAACCATAACTTGAGTTTTAACTAGAAGAAATAAGGCAGGTGCAGCGACCGGAGTTAATTTAGCCTATATCGCCCACAATCTTAAGCGATGTCAGAACTTCGGTTCAGACTACCACGCAAAGCATGCACCACCGAAGCCAATCACATAAACAAAACCGGGTACAGAGCCTACAAAAAGTGAAAAGCGAGCTCACACCCCAGTATGAGTAGGGTTGAACAGACCACATTATGTAAACACTCCCCAGCACAGGCCGAAACGGCAAGTTCTTAACACGCGGACATTACCACATGCAACGGTTTCTTGACGTTTCAAATTGTAACAATTTGCAGCCAGTCTCGCCACAGCCTTATTACACACCATGTCATTGATCCAAAACTGTATCCGTTATTGAAGGGATGCCAACCGTGATCTATGCATAAATAACGGCCTGGATCGAAGTACGTGAAACAACAATGGAAAACCCGCATTGATAAGCAGGATGGATGCAGACTCTTAAAGAACCAAAAACATTGTAGAAAATCATACTAATTAGATCAGGCCATAATATAAAAAAAACGTTGCAAAAGCCCATGAAACCCTGTTCCTTCAGGATTACCACTTTATAACAAATCATATCCACAAAATCTAAATTTAGTCACCTCGATTTTCAGTTCAACTTCACTTCTCAACAGCATTTCGTCCCACACGTTACCACCAGAAAACTGAAGTAATCAGGTACAGGAGCAACAGAGAAACACGACTGACGTCGCAGTACAGTCCACCCGCCTACTATCCTAGCATAAATTCGATCAATTAGTTCAGTGATAGCATGGAATTTTGCGTTATCTGGCGAGGACAGGGCTACCGTCGGATAATCTACCAGTCGTAGCCACCACACAGTGAGTTCCCTGTCAAATGTTCACAGTGAAGACATCTATGTGAGACCTGCTTTTGACACACGCAAGCAGAAGCCTTGGTGACGCAGTTACTTTGTACAAAACGGAGAAAAGCCATAATAACTGAGAAAACCACCCGGTACGCATGCAAGATACAGGCATAAAAAAGGACGAGATTGACCGAATCAATTTATTGCATAATTATTTACATGGGGATGGACGCGCACACAAGATCCGCAGCAGCTTTTGTCAGGCGATAAAAAAGTGACAGCGATTAAACGAGAAGTGGAAGTGTATGTTTATGCGGGGAAAGTCAGATCGGAGAGCAACAATCAGTTGAATCTTCACAGAGATATGAAAGTAATAGTATTTATCTACTCAGGAAACGCAAAGTCAACAGCTGCATTCGCTATTGCGACTGTTCCTTGGAGCCCCAAGATGAATCTCTTCAGGACAATCGTTTACTGTGTCAGGCTGTGAAAGAAGAGTGCGCAACAGATAACTTCTATCGGGTACAATAAAAATATTGAGCACTACGTCAATCTTACGTAGGGAAAGGCTTGTCAACACCTCAACATGGGCTTACCAATAAAAGTCCGTGCTACGATAATGTATATTCGACAAAAAAGACTTAAATAGTGCAGTACAGATTAGTTGCATATTTTTTAAATAATGAGAGAAAACAACCAGAGTAAGGATAAAGATATACGAGTATTTAAAGTGCCTTCAAAACAGCCTTAAAATAAATTACAATACCTCCGTTTCCTGCGCAAGAGCAACACGGGCCACTTCCTGGAAGGCCTGTTTCACGTTGGTCGTTTCCTTAGCACTGCATTCGAAGTAAGGAATATTTCCTTTCGCTTGACACCACTGCTGTGCTCGTCTTTCAGTTATCTGATGGATAACCACATGAATTGTTAAAGACCCTCCAAAGAGTAATGACAAATCGATTTAAAATGCTAAAACTTATTCTATGACCCGAGAATGATTTTGGACAACATACCGAACCCAAAATGACTTTAAACAGGTTATCAGAAATAGTCGCAGGCACAAAAAAGGTGGCAAGACAGGAAGCTAACGACCACTGTATGCCATCCATTCGCAATAAATTCCTAGCCCTATTTCAAACTAAAAATAAAACTAGTGCAAGTTATGATTGGGGAAATAGTACAATAAGACTTACAGCCCTGTTGGGAAGATCAATTTTATTACCAATTAAGATAAATGGAAAATTCTCAGGGTCCCGAGGACTAGCCTGAATCAAGAACTCATCTCGCCACGAGTCTAAAGTTTTGAAAGTATTGGGCATAGTGACATCGTAGACAAGTACGCAACAATCAGCTCCACGATAAAAAGCTACACCAAGAGACTGGAAGCGTTCCTGACCAGCAGTGTCCCAAATTTGTAAAGTAACAACACGATCATCGACCATTGTCTCTTTAGTAAGGAAATCAGCGCCTATAGTAGCTTTGTACTGGTTGCTAAAACGCTGAGTAACATACTGATTCATCAGCGAAGTTTTCCCAACACTAAAGTTTAAATACCACGAAACAAAGGCCACATACCCACTATCGCCGAGTATTATAACTTTAAGAAGTATCTTCTTGCGACTAGATGCCATGACAAATCAACGAACGACGAACGATAAACAATCCCACCAAAAGGAACCGGCAACTTGAATGGCCAACTTGTAAAAGGCGGCGGCATGTTGGTGCGTAGTTTATCTGCTTGAGGAAACAATTATAAAGTTTTAGAGTTTGAAAATAATCTAAAGCAAAAGCAACTTTCACGAATCCCATGATTTTACGATAATAAATAGTGTTTTTTAAAATTAAATTTCTTTAACTGTATGCATATGTATATGTTATTAAATAAATTATTTTAAAAATAAGAAAGAATAATTGTATTACCCTAAGGCTTATAAATAGGTGGTATAAAACGTTGCAAAGGTCTGAACACTTGTACACATGGCGAAGGGGATGAGGCTTTAATTTGAATTGACCCGGGGGTCAACTCAGCCTCGCGCTGGAAGAAAACGGTAAGTGGGGCTGGATACATGTACTCTGTAGAGAACACAACAAATGGGCCTGAGCATGATCCATGGGCCAGTACACCAGTACAAGAGGCAGACCAATCGGTACTACATGAAGACACTCACGAGCCAACCGTGCCAGTCAACGGATAGCATGAGACTGAGGAATCCTACCTAGTTTTCTCGGCAGCTTCAACTGGAAAAGTTTCGTGTCGGAAGTTCCCACACAAAATTCGTGATTAGGTGTCAAAAATGACACCGTGGTACCCCCTACTTACGGAACACTGGTTCTTCCCGTTTCCCCTATAACATGAATGTTGTAGACCAGAGTTACATCATCTATTCCTGGAAGCAATTGATGGTCAATATGTGTATGCGGCCCCGAATCTGGTTGTCAGACGGAACGTAACTCCAGATCCAGTTGAAGCTACTGAGGAGACCAGGTACAGTTCCTCACTCTGATGCTCTCTATCGACTGGCGCGGTTGGCTCGTGGGTTCTTTCATGTAGTACCGAATATGTTGTGATGGCTGGCGTGGGAGGTGCACCAAAGGGGAGCGCTGAGGACGTCGCTCAAAAGAGGAGAGGGGCAGTGTAATACTTTGTTTATGTGACTACCTGACGTTTGGCGGTCACTTTAGTCTTTGTTTGGCCTTCGGGCTATGCACACGCCCATTTGCCCTGTCGTCTTTGAAATACATGTATACAGCTGCGCTTACTGACTCCTTATACTGGCTAAGAAGTCTCGTGACTCTACAGGTATATGCGACAAACTGTACGTGCTAGGATAGAAATCGTTGGAAAAATTCTCTGTTCGCTTTCCACTGCTACCAGTATAGCGTCCCGAGACTTCCCATAGGGTGGAAGAAGGCAGTAAATGAAGCTGGACACATGCATCCCGAAGAGAACACAACGTATGTTTCTGAGCATGGCCTAAAGTTCAGCCCATGAGTTCGAGGGCCAGACCAATCCTAAAGTGACCGCCAAACGTCATGTGGTCACATAAACAAAGTATTGCATTAATAAACAACGTATTACAGTGCTCATTCACTGGTACACCCATAAGCATTATGGAAAGTCGCTATTTTACTACATTGAAATCTGTAGAGCGGCATAATAAATTCGTGTTAGTGTACCATTTGACTGTTTGTATGACTTTGATCGTCTAAATATTAATATTCAGTCACGTCTTGCGATGTGACCCCAATTTTGTCATCACCCAATACCCTTCGTGTATTTTCCCCTAGAGAGTTTGTTTATACGAGTCTTACTTAAGAGCGGAATCAATAGTATGAAAGTAAGAGGGAGGTGTACCCAGAATGCAGAGCAAGAAGCTTCAGTTCCTCTCTCTGGTACAGAGTTTGGGCCTATACTTTCGCTCTGAACTACTAGGCCGATTTAGACAGCAGTTTCACTGCACTGTATGTGATAAAATAACGGGAGTTGCAGATGTGAACGTTTTGCATGAGAGAATGCTTAGGCCTGCTCAATACTGTTTGGCTAATTGAGTTGCGGAGTCGAGATTATTCCTGTACACGAATGTCTTCCTCCAAAAAAATATTTGCAACCATTTCGCTGGCCCTAAAGAATCAACAATGGAATCAATCAATGGAAGTACCGGTCTCTGCATGTGCAAATTGCCTTGTAGCATACATCACACAAGCTAAGGTGGAGTGAATTAGCAATTTCTAGTCATCGTGCATACAAATATGCGCATACCAAGGAATGAAAAATGTTATTGCAATGTGTTGCCTATCTGTATGACTAGCAGCTACTTGGTGTTCATGTGGTTGACGCGCCAGGCTAAAGCTCTACGCCTTCCTCTTCTTCCCTAACGTAAATATTCAGCCGTCTTGTGACTCCTTCCACCAAACGGAGAGTCTTGGACCGCTATAGTTGCCCTG